AAAACTGGCATCAGTGCGCGAGATTTTCTTGACCTGGTTTTGCTGTACCTTACCTCTACTTTCGCTCAATGGAATGATTGCATTTATCTGCAGAAAAAGGGTGTTTCAATCGGCTCATGCATAGCACCTCTACTCAGTGATCTTCTATTGGCAAAAATGGGAAAAAACTGCAGGAAAAGTTAGAAGGCTCGCATGTCGTCAAAGTATTCAGATACGTGGATGATTTCTTGGTTCTTCTAAATTGTAATTCTTCTATGTTCCACTCGTTTGCGACTCAAACGAAAGGTGTGTTCGAAGATTGTTTAAAGCTTCTTGTGTTGACACATGAAATGGCCGTGAATGACAAGTTACGCTTTTTGGATTTAAGACTGGTTTTTAGTTCACAGCACATCTGTTGGTGTAATGAACCACGTGAGCAGAAACCTCTACTTCCTTTTTCTTCCGCTCACAGCAAGATAGTTAAGCGAGGTATAGCACGAACCTGTCTTGAGAATGCCTTAAATGGGCCGTGCGCCCACAATATCTCTGCGAGCTTCAAAGCTCAAGTTTCCCGGCTTAAAGCTTCGGGTTTCCCCGAGGCGTTTATCGCTTCCGTTGCTGAGACTATCTTGCGCACTAATAAGGCAGAGCAGAGGCAGCGACAGAATCCGAGCAACACGGATACAGAACTTGAAAGGATAGCCGTGATTCCATACAAACACCAGATATCACACAGGCTCAAGAAAATCGGAAAACGTGTTGGAGTCCGTGTCCTGTTCTCGGCACCGTTCAAATGAATCAGCCTCACCAAATCTACAAACCCCCTGAAAACGCAGTCATCAACGGAATGCAAAGTTCAACATAGAAACAGGTATGCGGCCTGCTCCCGGGAAGTTGTCTATAGGACACCCCTTTCATGCGGTGCTTGTTATGTCGGAACGACCGGAAGGTGTCTGAACGATCGGCTGAGAGAACACGCTAACAATGTTAGAAACGGGAAAGATGGTTTTCTTGCTCAGCACTGCGCTGAGTGCAATTGTGTTCCCCTCTTCAAGGACACAGCGACGCTGTGCAAGCACAGATTTCGGTGCGCGCAGGTAGTTATATTATCTCTACCTTTCTGTTTTGTTTTCTTATAGATTTTTCTTTGCCGTTTTTCTCTGCTTTTGTTTTTGTGTTTTTTGTCTTTGTTTTTCTCTTACTCATGTTCTGCTCTTTGTGCCATATGGTTTTTATCACATGGTTACTGTCTCCTCTATATATTTTCGTGCTCTGCGCAATAAACTCAGTTGGAAGTTAGCGCTCGTGTCTTTCGTGTCCTTCTTGTCTCTGTGCCGTCGTTTTGTTCTTGCGCTATAACTATCGTCATGCCATACCAACTAGCCCAAGCTGCCACACTTCTAATGTACCAACGCCTCCTAGATTTCCCATGCCTGCCGGATTATCGGTGGTCACTTGGGAAGCGGCGGTCGACGGAACTACAGTGATGGCGCCACTCAAGTAGGGGGTGTCTTCAAATAAGTTTTTACGTTTTTAGAGCTTATATGCAACAAAAATAACGTTAAAAAGTTTTTAAAAGGCGTAAACATAATCGTAATTAACCCTACGTAAGTGACGCCGTCATTCAACAAGCAACTTTTTTATTACAAGGCATCCTCTGAAATCAGGAGGCGTTGGCAGTGGTTACTCATTTATGCCTGTTGAACCGTTAATATTAGTAATCGGTTTTTTACCACGTCATCATGGGGCATGCCGTTATGGAGGACTCCGGAAATTTCGTTCTTTAACGACTACCTAATCCAAGCATATCGGGTTTCTATGCACCCTTTTCATCTTTATCGAAACACCGTGGCCCGGATTCGAACCCTTGGCCTTCGGGTCAACGATTGGAATTTGCGAGCACCATGAAGTGCTCAGGTGTGTTCCGTTTAAACCGCTTTTGGATTACCTATTGATTGACTATTGACTGAAGTCGGCTGCAAGAAATTTTACGTTTTTTCTCCGTATTTCGTCAGCATACTTGTGTTGAAGTTATAAAAAAAGAAATAAAGATAACGAGACTAAGGGCGTTTGCGAGAGGCTTTATTTGTTGTTTTTCTTTCTCCGTGGAAGCAAAAAAAAAAAAAAGAGGGGTGATGGGTGGGAAGGTATTAACTCAGAAGGACGACTGAACAGTCCGATTAAATTATGTTATAATAACGATACGAAACCAAAAGAACAGTGGAAATGACTCGTTGCATATTCAATGAAATGTGTAGAAGAGATAGATAAACGGCAATGAAAGTGGGCGAACCAAGAACAATTTGCCATCGTGGGAGTCGTTCTTACTTCCACTTACCTCGTAAATTTGTAATTTACACCTGAATAAACCGACACATGATTTCAGTTTCGCCCTCCAATCATGGTTCAAGTTATGTTGCTTTCGAAGTTGAGTCAAATGGTTTTGAGGGAATGGATAACGAAATAACGATAAATGAATATCCGTAAAAAAATAAATAACAAGAACAGTGGCACATAATCCATCACAAAGCAGAAAAACGCGAGGCATCCAACATGGAAGAAGACGCTACGTGTTCCTGGGAGTCACTGAGCACAGCGAATGTTCAGTCTGTGTTACACATTTGCTTGAGCAATAGCGCACGGTGTTTGGCGCGACCCCAGTTCAAGGTTATTTCGTGGCACCACTTTTTATAAGTACACTTTCACACGACCATGCGTGTTGTACAAAGCACCTAAATGGCGACAAATTAAGCAAAATAAGATGAACGAAGCACGTGTTTATGGTTATGACATCATGGAGCACAGAGGAATGACGTTCGGTGTATGTTACAAATTGCCTTGAGCAATCTCTAGAAGTTCGGCAACACTATCACGCTGCCGTTGCAAAGTATGACACCGCATGTAGTACATATAGTGGGGGAACCTCAATCAAATAAACAGATTTAAATATACAAAGTATCATGGTGATGGTACCCCTTACGGTGTGAACGAAAGTTGACGGGTAGTGTATTTTATACTTCTAATTGCTATAACAGTATATAGACATGTAGCTGCGTTTGTAAACTTTTGAACATCACGGACTTAACACACACGCGAATATGCATGGAAAAATTATGGCACTTGCAGAAATTCGATATCTGGTGGCTGAACCGATATTTTGCAGGCCACTGGTCAAATTGAATGGCGTCATCACCGGTATGTATCATTTTTTGTTAACTGAGTGCAAACAAATGAGGGCATATCGCTTGCGTCAGAGCCGGCTATACCCTCAAGACAAACGTCAACACTGCCCAGTTGCCCTCACAAACCATGTTCACTTATCACAAAAACACACACCCAAGTTCGCACAAAAATAAGAGGGTGTAACTATAACAAGGCTGAAGCTGATTGCCGAATCTTTTCAAAAAATTCGGAGTTCTGCGGCTCAAAAGCGTGATACAACGAGCAGGTTATTATTGTCGACTACCGGGGAGTCTACAAATGCAACTGTCTGTACCAACTAGCCCAAGTTGCTGTTGAATTCTGGCTATATCCCAAAAAACCCAACGAAAAATTTCCAGTTCCCTGACTATATCTGGCATTTTAAGCGCAACCCGACCAAGAGAGATATGTACACATGCAGGGGCATTTATGCACTGCGGCACCACCGAAATGCGGCCACTGAGGGCGGAATCCAAACAATGGTTTCCTATCCTGCTTGGCAGCACAGCGCCACCAAGGCAGCATGGTGGGCGTCTATGGCACAGGAGCGCCACCATCACTGTACAAAGGGGGCATGACACACGAAATTCGCAACCGACAAGTGGCTACACGTGCACTCCCAGTGACCCGCAGCATTAACGTGAAAGTTATTTACAGATGAGATGGTGGTCGTCATGGTTGTATACCGTGAAGGCACAAGTATACAGATACACGAAAAGATATATACAACACAACGCCTGTGCCGTGTGTTATTCAGTTTGTGCCTTCGCACTACACTGTAGGACTTTCGGCAAACAACTAGCCCAACAAGTCCTTCTGCGTATGAACTAATATCACGAGAAAATGAAGTGAATCCGAGGGCTCATGCGCGTGCGGTGGTTTCGTTCTTGCTTGTGTGATTCTTAAATGAAAGGAAGATAAAAGTGAGCCCGGTAACTCTCTCAGAGGGAGGACACCTACACAGTAGCTCACGAGGGATCGGGGTAAAGAGGTGGAGAGATAGATATATGGTATGAAGAAAGGCGTGGAGGCTAACCAGAAAGCAAGTGTCTGGTTTGCTACCCTGCACTGGGGAAGGGCTAATGGAGGACAGAAAGTAAGAAAAAGGGAATGAGAGAAAGAGAACGGGACGGAAGCGAAAACACACTAAAACGTCACAAGATTTCGACGAGGCGGGTCGATGGCAGAAACTTCAGGAGGGCCTTCGTCGCTTTTTGGCGTGAAGCTCGATCTTTCCGCTATACCAAAATTAATTTTTTGGAAAGTGGCATGGTCATCGAGGCGTGCAAACACTGCTGACAGGGACTGTCTCTGAGAGTTATACTGGGGGCACTGACACAAAACATGTTTGATGATTTCGTCAGCGCCGCAATGATCACACGCAGAACTGTCGCTGCCCATCCGATGCGGCAAGCAAAGGCGTTCGTAAAAGATACCCCAAGCCACATGTGACAGAGAACGGTTGTCTCTGATCTGGATAACCCAGATGGAGAATCGGGCTAAGCAGGGATTAAAAGGATAGGATTAAAAGTTATAGAGATAGAGAGAGGGGGAAGGAGAGAGCGATGGGCAGGGACAGCGACATCCAGAAGTAAGGAGAAGATACGAAAGATGGACATGGTCGCAGAAGTCCGAGGGCGGGGCACCACTCAGCGATAGCTCTTGTCGGCGTCAGGAGATGGCGTATAGGGCGAGCCAGTCGGCTGCAGAGCTGTGCTGTCGTCGGAGATCGCGGGGACACAACCGGTCGGCACGAAATCCAGCGAGTGAGTCCGTGATTTCGTTTAAGTACAGTTGCCGTTGGTAAGTGATGCCTGGCACTAGAGGTCCCCTTGATCTGTACACGTCACGTGTAGCCCGTTCTTGCCGGTGAACTTCGTGAGGAGGTTGATGGCGTCGCCGTTTGACCGTAGCGGTTGTATCTCGTAAGGTGACGCCTTGATGCCATCGCCGTTGACTACGAGTCGTAGTGGTTCCTGCACGCAAGCGATGACGGGACGTTTAGGCCAGTGATTTCGAAGACGTTATATTTTATTTGACAATATTAATACTAATTGTTGGGTCTTAACCATCTGAAACAAGAATATGATCACGGACGTGGGAGGGCTCCGGAATTTCGCCCGCCTGTGGTTATTTAAAGGGCACTTAATTCCAGACACACGGTCCTCTAGTTTTTGCGCCTCTTTTGAAAACGCGGTCACCGCGACTGGAAAGTTATCCCGCGACGTTTAGGTCGGAAGTGAATCTTTGTAATCACTAGACCATTGCGGCAGGTATTCTATTCAACTGTAAAGTTCTAAGAGACGAAGCCTTGTGGGCCACCTCTTGTTTCCCTACGTCGCTGGAGACCCGGCTGGCAAGAGCCGGTTGGGGTTACAGCTGAGAAGAATGGAAAAGGATGCAGTTGAATCTAGCATAAATGTGCCCAGGGTTCTCTAGGGGGGGGGTGGAGTTATGGTTAATCGCAGCCTCCCTAACACACACACACACACACACACACACACACACACACACACACACACACACACACACACACACACACACACACACACACACACACACACACACACACACACACACACACACACACACACACACACACACACACACACGCACACACACGCACACACACACACGCACACACACACACACACGCACACACACGCACACACACGCACACACACACACGCACACACACGCGCGCACACACACACGCGCGCACGCACGCACGCGCGCACGATGGGTCGACGTATGGGGCTAGTTATTGTATCATATAGAGTAACTCAGTTTGGGGCAGACTTTGCGCTTCCCATCTTAGGTGACTTGGGAGGGAACGGCCGGCCCCCTGCAATTCCTCCGCTCTTTCGCATGCCCATGGAATCTAATTTTAGCGAACACTGATATAGCGAACCACCAGTTAGAGCAAACTGAGTACGGAATTTGATTGATAACGCGTCATTATTTGTATATACGAAAACTAAAACGCGGCAGCCGTCGCGAGACCAGCTTTAACGATTAAGTGTTCGATTTGCAAGAGGCACCAAATTCGAAAGGTAGCATAAAATAGGGAAGATAATTTACGACCAAAGTTCGTGTAGAGGCTAGTTGTGACATTAAAACTTTGGTTGTTTAACAAGTTAGAAAAGTTGGGGACACAAACCTATTGTGAACGCCGCGTGGTTTTGTCAGACGAACCTTGGTCTGTTATTACACTTCAATCGCACATGTTTCGGTGCATATAGTTCGAAACACCAAAAAGGCAAGGGTTAAATTTTGAAGCCTAGAGTGATTTGTTTTTATGCCTCGGTATTCTCGCGCAAGTCAGATTTTCCGATTTATTTTACCCGATTTCTATTTCTACCGTTACAACAAAAATCGGATATAACGAACTAATTTAAAACCAACGCGCTACTTAGATATAACGAAATTCGATTGCCCTGAGTATTCGGCATAGCATTGGTACGTGCATTACGAACTCAGCACTTTTTGTGTACTTTATTGTACACAATAAAGTACACAAAAAACCCTGCAAATCTGCCACAGCTTCGAAAGTAGCTTCATCTTCAATCATGCGTTTTTTTATTTTCCGTTTTTGTACCGGTGTGCCACACTTGCATTCGATCGCGATAGGACTTTATGCGGATCGCATATCTCGATCGCGCTTGGCTTCCTTCTAGCAAGCTGCAGAAGTGAGTCAGTCACTGTTGGAAGTTTTGACCCCAATCGGGCTTAATTGTAATTAGCAGTACAATTGAACGAAAGAAGGGGAATTCAAGAGTTCATTTTCTTTTTTTTATGCACGACATTAATACGAACCAACAGACAATTTAACCGTGGAAAGTATAGGGGATGTTTTCTGTGTGAATTATAACGTAAGAACGAAGTAAGTGTCAATCAGAGGGCTCGGTTTCTTCATTAGATACCATTATTATACAATAATTATCACTTAAATGCGACTAAATTGAAGTCGATGAAATTTCATCTTGTCTCCGGCAGCAACCGAACCCGCGTCCTTCGTTTAATGAAGGTGGAGTCATTGGAAGGTCGCATGTTCAGTCTCTGCAGGAGGAGCTTTCCTTACGCTCTGAGTTCTTCTAATGTCACATCACAACTGCTACATATAATGTTCACTGTAATTTTCTCTACTTAATGGTCTGTTGATGCTCATGACGGTATCGCACGTTATCGTATGCTTGCAGTGACTTGCGTAATATCGAAGGCACGGACTGACCTTTTTTAGGCGCGGAAGCAGTCCGGTCCACGCCCAGAACTTCAGGGCTATGGGACTCGACAGGCTGGCTGTCTTCTCCAGGTCGTCCTCGGCTCGAGCTGGACGAGAGATGACGTCACAAGAGCTAATCATCATGACCTGACCGAAGGCGTCCACGTCGACCACTCCGGTGAGACGACTTACTCGAAGGAATCAATCAGCCGATAGACAAAATTTACGCCTCGCATTTCCGAGAAGTTACGAGGAGACTGAATGAGAGCACATCTCAAGGAAGTAATCGTTTAAGTTACTTCTTGTCTGTAGCTGCAGCTTCCGCATAATGTGCGGCGCTGCAAGGACCTTGTGTCAACTTCCCCTTATCGTTTTTTTTTTTTTACACTGACGGTTTACTACAGGCCCCAGCTGCACAGTATACCGAACGTACCGAACCTCCGTTTCAGCTGCCTGCACACAGAGCAGACTTTAGAAAGCAAGAAAAAATGAGTTTACCAAGATGAAAACATTATATCTTGAGGTCACATGACTAAGTAGTTGAGACGATGTGTTACAAAGCTATAGGCAGACTTCTAAGAAGCTATATAACTTCGTAAGAAATAAGCGTTTTTCGTACTTCAGATATGTACCGATAATGTGAATTTTGCTACGCATTATTCTGCGAGAAAATATTTGTGCAATTATATATAACTACTTGTAGATTAAAGCTGCTGAAAAAATCTTCGTTCTTTTTGTTTGCTGCTAAACCGTGGTCGACCAATATGTCTTAATTGTCCGGTCAGCTTTTGTGTTGAAAACGGGAGGTCTGTGAAATATCGCGCCTGTTTGCACACGACACAACGGCCTGTGCATATGAACGTGGGAAAACCATTTTGAATATTGTTCCTCGACGAAAGCTGGCATATAAGCCTACACACGTACGAGGAAAAAGTAATATTGGGCGTAATTTTTTGTCGTTAGAGAGTTTCCCTTATTTATTTATTGAAGAATTGTTTATAGGCCAGAAGACATGATGAATAACAAGTGAACTTGTAGCGCAAAGCATTAGCGCAAAAGCATACATCACAACAATATCAGCGTTGCAGCACGTTAGCGAAATTTGAAAAGCCAACACAAAGGGTGATTGCAGCACATTAATGAAAGAAAAAGTGTGAAGTTTTGCAAATATAAACAAAAGCTTGAAAGCTAAACAAGCTTTAGGACTCTATTTTAAAACGAGAAGACGCCAGTATATGGCATGCGCATACTTAATAACCAAACGCGTGCTTGGTTTCGCTGGCACCTAAATAGTTTGCATGTATATATGCAAGCGCTAAGCACACCACTCTCGTGCCCCATAGTTTAAAAGCTTTCTATTAAATCATTTAAATGCGAAGCATTTCTTAGCGAACTTAGGAGATTTTGAACGTATCTATCTATCTATCTATCTATCTATCTATCTATCTATCTATCTATCTATCTATCTATCTATCTATCTATCTATCTATCTATCTATCTATCTATATCTATCTATCTATCTATCTATCTATCTATCTATCTATCTATCTATCTATCTATCTATCTATCTATCTATCTATCTATCTATCTATCTGTCTGTCTGTCTGTCTGTCTGTCTGTCTGTCTGTCTGTCTGTCTGTCTGTCTGTCTGTCTGTCTGTCTATCTATCTATCTATCTATCTATCTATCTATCTATCTATCTATCTATCTATCTATCTATCTATCTATCTATCTATCTATCTATCTATCTATCTATCTATCTATCTATCTATCTATCTATCTATCTATCTATCTATCTATCTATCTATCTATCTATCTATCTATCTATCTATCTATCTATCTATCTATCTATCTATCTATCTATCTATCTATCTATCTATCTATCTATCTATCTATCTATCTATCTATCTATCTATCTATCTATCTATCTATCTATCTATCTATCTATCTATCTATCTATCTAGCCGCTCACGTTTGGGTGCTCTCGTGGTCACCCCCTTACCTTGGCGTGAACCAAAATCAGCATGAGAGGGTAAGATGGCTTGACATGTATGACGCGCTGGTCAGAACATAAATATAGTCACCTTCCCGTCGCGTACGTCGTCAAACACTTCTCACCAGACAGCGGCACATACCCACGGGCGGGTATGTGTCGCTGGTATGCGGGTATGTGCCACAGGTGATTGACACTTGGTATCTATAGTCCAGGAACGACGAGAACACATGTGGGCAATTTTAACGCGTGAGCGTTAAGCAATACCCGACATTGATAGTGTCGACCCAACGAAGGCATAGAATAAATGACAGTGCATGTTAAGAAAAACCGTACATAGGCAGCGTTGACTCTCCGTCGAAAGCAAATAACGAATTTCAGTGTTCCAGCAGAAATCGAGCCTAAGCATTCTGTGTGGCAGTCAAGCATTCTACCACAGAGCTGCGCCAGGTCTCTGAACTACTTTACAAATAGGCGCTAATCTTCGTGAAGTGTCAATAGTGGTTGCAGTGCTGCCTACCCTATTTTATAAATATTACATATGTACTCCTTTGATACAGCCATTACCTCGGGTTAACGCCAATTGTGGCCAGATGCCATGCGCTGAAGTTGATTTATGTAGCAGTGTTTCGGGGTCAGCATCTTCGAGAGCATCAGCGCTTCACAGCTTCTGGTGTGCTAATACGCATGTTCTAGTTGACATCGATGTGCAAGTGCAAACCACTGGTTATATAAACTACAGCAACTCTTCAACATATGTCTGTGCGTGGAACATTTGTACATATACTTAGCGTTATTTCACGACGTGTCGTTCAAAATAATAAAAAATTGTAACATGGTCACCTTCCCGGCGCATTCTTCGCATAACGTCAATCCTTGGGTACGTGGGATCTGCTGTTTTTTTTATGGACTACCTTTTATTTGTTCAAACGCAGTTGCAATGCAGCATCCTGTGGTATATGAGAGCGTAATTATCATGTAAACTTGTGCCATACTCGCGGACAACTTTTCTTGGTAACGAAGGGAAACGCCACATGGGCGGAGCTTCTACACATGTACCGCTGCGCGAAATAGTCCGGTATGCCACGCGTTCCGCACCGTTGTGGAAAGTGATGGCTGTGCGTGGTTGGCGTTTCTTTCATAGCGACGCAGACGCCGCTTGGCGTTCGGGGTGCGCGTAAAAGGCGTGGCTTTCTCGCGCGTTCATAAGTGTGAAGTTACAACAAATTGATTGAAACAACTACACGAATAATATCTTACTGGCGTGAGCTGCGTCCTGCGTCAGCGAGGCATACGCGCAAAAAAAAAATGAAAGCGTGTACTTTTAAGTGTGAATACACTTTATAAGCGACCCCAAACCATCCACCGCCGTCGGCGGCGTCCGCAGTCTTCTCTCTATCTTTAAAAGAAAGAGGACTTGGCGGGCCGCAGCGCGACGCTCTACCGAATAAGCCACGGACGCGACGCTGATAGTCCCCCTCCCCCTTCGCTCGCTCCTCCGCTCTCCTCGCTCGCTGCAGCTGCGCGCGCACCCCTCTCTCTCGCGCGCCCGCCTTCTCTCTCAGTCTCCCGTCGAGAGCGGGTCGTGAGGGGGAGCAAAGTTAAAATCCTTTGGCATTCGCCAGTGAGTTAACGTAAACTCCCCCGTGTGATCAAATTGCGATTCCCAGGAACCATTACACCATAAAGGCACCATAGTGTGATTAATAAATATAATAGTGCGAATTAATAAATACCCCTCATAGCATCACCCCGTGTATTCGCACTTAACCATGTTCACCCTCGGGGAAATGCTTGGTAGTTTTTTCTGATCTCACGTTGAAAGGGAGGACATAATTGTGGGAATGCATTATTTAGCGGAAGAATAGACGGGAGTCGGCTCTACATATACTCGGCGACAACTTTTCTTGGCACTGAAGGGAAAGCTACGCAGGCGGAGCTTGTGTACATGTAGCACTACGCGAAGTAGTCCGTTTTGTCGCGCATCTGGTAGTGCTATAGACCCTTTCAAGGTTTATAAACACAGCCCCTTGATGACTTCTGGTTTTGTTCACCGATGTGCTTTAATAGCATTGGTGGATCACAAGAGCTTTAGAAAATATCCCGCTGATTTTATATACCGTTTTCTTTCCTTATTTGGCAAAATATGTTGAAATAAATGTTCTTTTGAGCTACACAAAACGCACAAAACATTTTCTTCTTTCTTTTATGTGAAAAACGAAACAGAGAGTTTCCTAACGCCTGAAAATAAATTGAAAACGTGCTTTTAGTGTCGACGTTAAGAGCTGGTAAGTGAAGTGACCGGAAGTTTTTTTGGGTACTATGCTTGCGGCTTCGAAACCGTCTATGGAAAGTGACGGGGGGCGCACCATCAGCGTTTCATGTAGACGCAGACGCCGCTTAGCGTTTGGGGTGCAGGTAAAAGGGCGGGACCTTCTTGCGCGTTCAAAAACATGAAGTCACAACGAATGAATTGAAATAAATACGAATGGTGGGTACTGCGTCCTGTCTCAAATAACTCAACGTAGAAAATAAACGGCGAACTTCTATATTTCACGGTGAAAATATTTGCACTGTCGTGGAACTACATTCACTGAAGGTAGGATGCCCGTGATTTGGCTCGGTAGCCTTCGCTCCAATGCCAAGAAAAGTTGTCACCGTGTGTAGCATTCCCTGCATTAGGAAAATAAGTTGTACTGCTATATGTAGGCGCTGCGTCAGGACTTTCCGTAAGAAGGGGGGAGGGGGGGTCTGCTAGGTTCATTTATCTCTCTCCTATGGACAGGAATAAAATGAATCAGAGGCTGGTTGACGCTGAGGTAGGTGCACCTATAATTTTTAGAGGCATTTTTGTCATCTATGGCGTGTTATATTTAAAGGAACGGACAACTGCCCAAAACATGAAATGAGATGACTACACGGATGGAAAGATTGTTCCTTATAGTGACTCAAACCAACCCAGTTTTTATCGTGATAAATGTTTTTTTTAATTTTTATTTTTTCATTAAAAATTGCGAAAAATGGCCTGTGGAGTCTACACTCTAAAAAAATATCTAGTAAAAAGGGTGTCTTTTTGTCCCACAACAATAATCGTCATCAGGCTTTCGTGCGCTTCCTTTCTTGAAAACTCGGCGCTGGCCTCTTTCCTATCGAGAATGGAATGTAACCCCGATAATGGGCATGACGATCGTGACCGGAATGTACACCGGGCGCGGGGCGATAGCGCAAGGATGGAACGAAATATAGATGACAATTATTGTCGTGGGACAAAAAGACACCATTTTTACTCGCACTTTTTTTAGAGTGTAGTGGCAAAAACATAAACTATCATGAATGCCCTGTCACGTGACCATGCGTTAATGTACATGGTCAACGATTTACTGATTAGTACTGAAATATTGTTTGATTCTTTATAGCAATTGAAAGATAATATTTTATAAAAGTACACGTGTAAGCTCGCGTTAGTAGTACGCATTGAAGTGGCGCTGCCTTTGCGTAACATATGCGCAGTTCCATTTTCGATTACTTGGCTTGGACGACGTGGTACAAATGCAGGGAAACTCTATAGAGCCACACCGTCTCATTGTAATGGCTTGTTATTTTAAAAAATAGTCTGTAAAGTCGCAGAATAAACGTGGTTAAGCATAGTGACAGGAAATCCTGTGAAATGAGAACAACGACAGCATGCATAAGCCACCAGAAAGGCTACCGGCATCGCTATCAATACTCAACGTTACCGGATGAAAAAGCTACTACCGTGTTCAGAGCCGTCCAGATAAAAAAAATACTGCTTATGAAATAACTACGCGCTCTTGGGATTAACTACTGCAGCTACGACCACTACGAAAGATAAGCTTTCAGTCGCGCAGAAAAAAAAAAAACTGGATCGAAAAAAGTCAGTTGTCGGGCCCTTTAAAGGAGTTATAGTAGTTGACTTCAGATCACTTTGTGCCGCTGTTGGTACTTGTTATACGAAATACTAACAATGATGCCAAGTACCAACCATCCAACCATCTGTTAGGCACTTGTTTACTTCCTGTGCAAGCTCCGTAGCCCACTGATTTCCACATTTGTCTTTTTGACATTGTAAGGATCTGTGTTTTGTAGGTTTAGTATGAAACGCTGTGGTGGAAAAAAAAAAAACGCATCAAATGACGACTTGCAAAAAATGGAGGGCATGGTATACTTACCTGTCAGGATGCTAAGGACCAGACCTATGGCCACGGTGAGTAACGTGGCGAACAGGCAACACCAGTAGGCCGACAGGCGGTACAGAGCAAACACGTCGGGGCTGCACGGAGGCGACATTAGGTAAACACAACGGAGACACAGAGCTATGCAAGAACACGTGTTCGGAAGCTAGCGATTCACTACTATCGAATTGGCTACTCTCGATTGGCTACGCGTCCATACGCTTCCCATGAGTTTACGTTGTACAAGCGTGGGTGTATAGTTGTGTGGTTGTGACACTTGATCTGCGAGTAGGACTGGACTAAGGAGGTTTAGACTGGACAGTGCTCGGATTTAAACGACACCTCTTCAAGCGTATAAGAGGTGCTGGTTCAAACTCTCTCTTGCCAAGGAAGCTTGTTTTGTCCTGTACGTTTTATTTACTTATTTATTCCATGCTTTCTTAACGTCGCATTCTCTCCTCTCAAGAGACCCCTCCTTTTCCCTGGTTGCTAGTACCATTTTAGCGAACTGTGCCGGCGCAGGGTCAAAATGTGAGTGACGAAGTAAAAACGAGTGACAAAGCGGTGTACTGTCATACAAAATTTTTATTGGTCATAAATTGCATGTTTCGTGGAGTTGGGACATTCGTTCTATCTTCATTAATACTGCTTTGTGGTACCGGATCTAGTCAGAAGTTGGCAAAGACGAGGTTTGGGCACGTTATCCTGGTGGTTGTTTGTCGTTACAAGTTATACGAAATACATCGTAGGGCATATAGCAACGTCATATACTGCACAAGCTTGCCTTTGTCCGCGATCATCATCTTCATCGTCATCAATGTCACCGTCATCATGGTTACGGCGCACGCCAATGGACAAGCCCCGAAAACTGCATGTATGGATGGGTGGATTCAACTTTATAAATAAACTTCCGGCAATGTTTAACGTGACCCGTGTTTAGGTTTTTCGCGGGGCAACGTCAAGACCTTGCCTCGGTGCCGCCCTGCCCACGTTTCGATGCCGAGGTCTGAGCTGCGCAGAGCGGCGGCCCACATAGACGACAGGGTCTCCGGAGTAACTACCATCGTTCTGACAACAATACTACACCCACACAACATGTGTATGAGCGTTGCTGATTCTTTCCATGGCAGAATTAGCACACTTCTTACTGATGTTTGTCCAGATATATCAATTTTAAATGAACTGCGGTTAGGAAAGATGTTCGTCTGCAGCTGCCTCCTGGTGATGGTCCACCTCCTGTTATTTGGCGGCGGGAATCTGAGCGAATAATAATAAAAAAAAACATGGACGGAAAATGAAACGGTGAAGAAGTTGAGACAAGATGTCTATCATCGCCATGCTTTGTTGTTGTTGTTTTTTTTCACACATGACTTCTCGTGCCGCTTTCTTAGACTGTTGCTCACACGATGTCACACCGCTGCAGCTTGATGACTGCCAGGGTCAAGATGTGTCGCCCTCGACACATCTTTCGTCAGCCTTGGGAAAGTTTACGCGGGCATTCAAACGCCAGAGGCATATAAGCTTGCGTCCTTCGTAGATCTCAGCGCGTGTCATATACGGGCGACTGGAAGTGGCAACGTGTTACTATCGTCACTATCAGTATCTGAACGTGATATTATCGGGTTTTCGATGCACACAGACACACACGCACACACACACGCTTTCACGCACACTCACGCACGCACACAAACGCACACGCACTGTTACACACACTCACGCACTCACATACACACAGACACGCAAACAAGCACATGCACACACACAAGTACGCACACAGACACACACACACGCTATGACGATGATATGATATGCGAGGTTTAACGTCCCAAAACCACCACCGGATTATGAGAGACTCCGTATAGTGGAGGGCTCCAGAAATTTTGACCACCTGGGGTTCTTTAAACGCAATGACGATATCGACCATATATGCATTTCACGCTCGAATACACCCCGATAGTTGTCTCGCGCCACAGAGTCTATAGCTCCAGGACACAGTTTGTCCGTCTATATATACATACGTGGTCGTGCGAATAATGAGGCTGTCGTCAGCCACTAATCATCCATATTGCCGAAGCGTGTGCGCCCGCACGACGCCGCTAACCGCGCTCACTGAATATCGCCATGCACTGTATACGCGCAGGTACGGACAAAACAGCGACAATGGAGTCATTATCGCTCTCCGGTGATCACGAGGTTGTATACGAAGAGCGCACAAAAACGCTTTCCTTAGGTGCGTCATTGAGGCGTTCGTAATCAGTTCCCCGCGAGCGTGTTATTTCGTCGTTGTTTTTTCTTTAATGAGGTCTTCTTGTACTGTAGCTTTCGCGAAGGCTTTTATACCCCTGCGGGAGCGAACAATGCCAAGGCTGCGCACGAGGTGTAGTTGTTGCGTTTATAGCGAATACCTTGCGTTCTTACTGGCGAGCCCTGCTAGGGCTGCTGTCATCACTTACGCCAATCACGCTATAGGCGTTGTCTGTTTTTTTTTTCTATTGGCGAGGTCATATTTGCGAGGAAAACACCCAGGCGCAATTTGTTGAGCGGCGAGCGGTGGCGACCTGGCGTGCCGTCTTCACTTACATTACACGACCATTGGTCAATATCAATAAGAAAATAGCGATAATAAAAGCTGCGGTTTTGAGTCCCAAAAAACACGGAAATGATTACGGAAGCCACTGTTTGGCGTATAGGGCTCTGGAAATTGCGACAATGTGTGCTTTTTTAACTGGCTTATAGATTGTAAGCCCACGGGCCTCTATAGCGCTATTCCTTCATCAAAATGCGGCTGGCGCATCCGGGATTCGATGCCGTGGCCTTCGGGACAGCAGACGAATGCCATATAACCGCTGCCGTTTCATGTATGTATGTATGTATGTATGTATGTATGTATGTATGTATGTATGTATGTATGTATGTATGTATGTATGTATGTATGTATGTATGTATGTATGTATGTATGTATGTATGTATGTATGTATGTATGTATGTATGTATGTATGTATGCATGTATGTATGCATGTATGTATGTATGTATGTATGTATGTATGTATGTATGTATGTATGTATGTATGTATGTATGTATGTATGTATGTATGTATGTATGTATGTATGTATGTATGTATGTATGTATGTATGTATGTATGTATGTATGTATGTATGTATGTATGTATGTATGTATGTATGTATGTATGTATGTACGTGCGTATGTATGTATGTATGTATGTATGTACGTACGTACTTGTGTATGTACGTGCGTATGTATGTACGTATGTATGTACGTACGTACTTATGTATGTACGTACGTATGTATGTACTTACGTACGTACGAACAGCGCGTGCGCGTTATTGTTGTCACTATGGTGCATGTCGCACACACTCTTTGTTTATGATCTGCATATTCTTTTCAATCATATGCACCTGTCACGCGCTACCTTTGATAAACGCGCCACTAACAACGCCATGGATGTTTACTGCCGCAGGTGGCGCCATGTTTTCCAGATTTCAGCGCTGCAACGATGAGCTATTGATAGCAGCAACCGCAATCATAATGCAGACTTAACAAATACAGATAATGGTCATGTCTGCTTTCCAGAGAATGCGAGGGCCTTTCTGAATAGTATAGGTGTACATTGTGTGGCTACGAGCAAGTTATGACCGCCAAGGCTTTTTTTTTATTATTTCTCAAACGCATCCAAATCTTGCCTTATGAATGTTCTCTTTGTAGACGCTGGCACCTATCACGTGCTGGCCAAAGGCGGGATGCCACAGGAGTCGATAAGTTGACCAAATGCGTACCTGTCGCCGCAGTGTTAGGACTGGGCTAACCGTTTTCTCGTGGTCATTTTTTTCATGCCCAACGGATGAAAAGCGGCTGCTGACGGTACTTGATTGCTTAAACAGAGAAATATAGCTTAAATTGCGGCACTACGAAGGAACGAAATACTAGAATGGATCGTCCCGTAATAGTCTCTTAGGCTAGGCAATAAAAAAAAAATCTGCTGGAGCTATCTGCCCTGGTCGCGTGATAGGCAAGCGCTACTATTGGTCGGCTCTCTTTGGTTGTTTGGCCTGTATAGGCCGCCGCGTTGGAGCACAGGCCATGCGCTCGCGTGTTCCCTTTCATAAAAATGGACACTGCAGTACAGTCCACGATTAATTATCGGACGAATTCGCGGCGCACCTTCCTTACCTGTCCGTGGCACGTAAGGCAGGGTCTCGTTGATGGCCGCGGAAGTGGTGTTGGCGGGACAGCTGTCCACGCTGTACGTCATCCGAACCGCTTCCGCGTTGGACGCGAACCGGCCGGCCGTCTGCCATATTTGCAGCAGGAACACGCCCAGCGCCGCACTCGCGGTGCCCTGCATTCAGTGAGCGAACGAGGGACGCGCATGCGCATAAGTCACATCTGTCAACCTTTAGGTATAAAATAAGGATTATAAACAAAAAATTGTACGATCGAGAGCGGAGAAGCACAGAGGAAACCTCACCGTATCAGGCTGAATAAATCCAGCTGAAATCGAACTGTCGTTTATGCGGGCTTTATGTACCGTTGTAGCTGCAATTACCAACAAACATTTCACGACCTAACCCCGCGCACTCTTTATACACCGGATTTCAGCAGGTGTGTCTTTCGTCCAAAAAAAAAAAAACAACTTGTTCTAAACGCAGTATTCCAAGAAAAACTATCGACTTTAAAAAGAGATTACTTTCACTGCGAATGTGTTCACCACACAGCCAGTCGTTTATTAGAGTAATTTATATCAATGAATAGCAGCGGGCTAGTGTCTAGGTAATCAGATTTATCACTATTACGCCAACTGAGAAAATTCACTGCTTTCAATTAGGGCGCACATGGAATTGGGCCATTATCTCAGGAAGATTTCTAGTAATACTGATAATAAGCCCTCGATAGAGGGCTTATTGTCAGTATTACTAGAATTGCCAGTATTACAGTATTACTTAGACTATGTTTTTCCTGATTGTATACGGCTGCGATGACACACTTGTCATGAGCCCCGCCGCGGTGGTTTAGTGGCTAAGGTACTCGGCTGCTGACCTGAAGGTCGCGGGATCGAATCCCGGCTGCGGCGGCTGCATTTCCGATGGAGGCGGAAATGCTGTAGGCCAGTGTACTCAGATTTGGGTGCACGTTAAAGAACCCCAGGTGGTATAAATTTCCGGAGCCCTCCACTACGGCGTCTCTCATAATCATATCGTTGTTTTGGGACGTTAAACCCCACATATTAATCAGTCAATCAATCTGATAATAAGCCAGCCACGTACCTTTGCGTTCGACCACGGGAAACAGGTGGCCAAGATAATTATTCCCGCGAACGGTCCAGACGCTGCGGCGTAGAGGGCGATGAAGAACTGTGAAGCAAGAGTTGACAGAATAAAGAATGTAAAAAAATATCGCAAAATTAATAGGCGAGTTACTTTCTTAATGAAGAGTAGCAAACTCCGTTTCGGCATTCCCGAATCAGAGTGGGCATTCTCTATAAATGTTGTACCTCGGGTATTAAAAAAAGAAAGTTTAGGGTTGTTAATATACTTTAGGTATAATGTTATGTATGCATACCAGGTGTCTATATACGACCAATAATTTTTGAAAGTTTTTCGCGACACGTGGAAGAAGTTAGCTGGTTGAGCTCGATTACTCCCAAGTCGTGCGCAATGCATGCGTGAGAGACCTTTCAATGACTGAATTACGAATTGATTTTAAATAAACTAATTATCTTTTTCAAATAGTTACTTGATGGTACATATTGCTAAAATGTTTGCGAGTCGTGTCCACTTTGAAAGAATATTATGGTTTACACCGGTCTCGATAAGTAAGCTTATAAAGTGTGCTACAAGATACACGGCGTTTTTCAATTTGCTTTTGTGTTCGAGCACACAGAAGCTTGGTTTGTTAAGGGGCCAGTAAATAACTACAGAAGGTCCAGAAAATGTTATGAAGTAAAATATTTAAATTTTACTTTGCTGAACATGCTGCCGCAATAATTTTGCAATTATGTGCTATATTATTGAAGCTACATGTAGAGGTCATGAAAATTGGTTTCAGGTGGTTTCAAATTTTCGCGCGGTTTCGCCACCCTCTTCCCTCACATGGAGGGGAAGGCGTAGCTCGTCGTCGTGACTCCGCCCACTTCGGTAACGCGACACGACAACAGCTACTGATGTATAGGCGAACTCGATCAGTCGCAACGCCCTTCCGCTTGCTGTGAAAACGGGATCGCTGTGGTCTGCGCCACGAATTGCCGTGCTTGTTTGGGAAGGGGGGAGGGGGGTAGGAAAAAGTCGGTGCCTGTTGACTGGTCCTTTAAGGAAACAACTAAAAACAGCTGTGCATTTTGGCGGCAATGTCGCTGACGCTTACATTACTATTCACGCCTTTTTTAGATTTCAATTGGATGTACCTTGAAAGTCAAGGGCTGCTATTACAGTCAGGCGTAAAGCATGACACTCAGCGCCACCTCGACATTTTTAACTTATTTGGGTGGCGCTGATAACCGTAGTGCGCTCTTAATATGCTCGATACATTACGGAATGACAGTAAGGAATACGCTTTGCAGGAAGAATTTTCACTCTAACGAAGCGTTAGGTAGTAGTAGTAGTAATAGACTTTTATTCAGCCAAATTTACAGGCCGAGCATTTCGACCGCCTGTGCGATCAGTCGACGCTGTTCTTCCCCTTCGGCGCCGATCCAGTTGAGCCAGGAGGTGATGGAAAGGGATGGGGGAGGGTAATAGCTGGATTGCTGAGCAGTTGGGCAGTAAAACAGGCAGTGTGGCAGGTCAGCGTATGGGGAGGGACAATTAGGACAGCAGGGGTTAGACCTATATTTATCAAGGAAAAGGCGATAGGGGGTTATCAGGCAGTTCATTTGGATGTGCCGTAGAGTTCGAGCCTCGAGCGCAGTAAGTGATGGATGAGGGGGAGGGTAAAGACGCTTGTCGAGCCGGAGCTGGAGATATACCTCTTTGATAGTGTGACGCAAGGAGATCTGCCCATCGTTATTCGCGGAGCTCTCACTGTCTTCCGAAGGTGTGGGCCAGGGAATGAACGGTGCCCGGTGCAATATATCGCGGGCAAGCTGATGAGCTAGCTCATTGCCGTTAATACCCGAATGCCCAGGAACCCAGCGGAGGAAGACAGTGGAGGGTTGAAGAGCAGAGGCCGCTCGCTCGACCTCCTGTTGAAGAGCAGGGGGCGACGTGTTGTGTTGTTCTGTACGTGACGGATGGCGGAGTGAGAGTCGGAGTAAATCGTGTATTCAGGGAGAGAAGGGAGGGAGGAAAATGACTGCATGGCGTGGACCATGGAAAGTACTTCGAGCGAAAGTACATTTGGTGGGTGTAAGTATGGCCCGCTGGTGTGAGTGTCAGGTGCCGAAAGGTGTGGATGGTAGATAACGTAGCCACACGAGCCCCGAGGAGCCATGTATGAGGCATCCGTGTAGGCAACTCCCTGTGTAGACAGAGGAAGAGAATGATGCTGTGCTGCCGCATGAGGCCGGCCGGCGTGAAGAACGGGAGGCATATTGGATGGGAGGGGAAGGATGCGAAGGTTAGAAGCAGCGGTGCTAGCGGCAGAAGGCAAGGTGGGAACGGAAACGGGAATGTGAGGGATACCGGCTTGGGCTAATAGCCATTGGCCTTGACGAGTGAGAGAAAGACGGGCAATCTGAGAGTCGTGGTGCAGAGAAATAAGAGAACGTAATGGATGGAAGAGGCCTGTGGCAGCGTTAGGTATATTATGTCAATATTCACAACTTGATCAGTGATAACTGCTTTTACTCTTAAAAGTATATGTGATAATTTCAGCATTTATTTCATGTTTTGTTTGATCAATCGATCACTGAATAAACAAATAAATAAATAAATAAATCAAAGTGGCTGGATTTCAAGAGATGGCAAACACGGTAGGGGTACTACAGAAAGTTATGGGTGGACAGATGAGGTTAAGAAGTCTGCAGGTGTAGCGTGGCAGCAGAAAGGACGGGACCAGGTTTATTGGCGGAACACGGGAGAGGCTTTTGCTTCGCAGCAGGCGTGTTCAGGCTGATGATGAGCAATTAGTACAGGCAGGATGAACGCAATAGGGAGTAGTTCAATATGTAAGGTCCACGGCGCTAAAGAAAGACAAGGACCAGGAAAGATAAGACGCAGGCGCTGGTCTTTTGTCTTCTTTAGCGCTGTTGTTCTTACATAATGAATCACTACCAACCCTACCAAGTATCTCTTCTGCTGCATTGAAGAATCTTGTCAGAACGTTCTATTTAATTGCTTTCTGGTTGTTCAGCAACTGTCAAATGTTTTTTCCTTGGTTACTGACTTTTGGAGCATAAAACACGTAGTTTCGAGCTGGGAATGGTGGTCTCATTCACTCACCCTCGCCGCCGATCCAATGTAGGGCACCAGGAGGCCAAGGAGCGTCATAATGGTGCCACTTCCGGCCGCTGTTGGCGTAGAAAGACACTCTTTCAAGCTCTACCTTCAATCACGTATAGAGCACGGAACACTGAGCTCATTAGTTTACCCTAACTGCATTTCTCGGAGCTCTGCACTTCTCTCCTAAAATTCTGGTGGATCAACCGTTCTGATGAAATTGACAGTTTAATAATTGGCTTTTCGTCGGTTGGCATCGGACACATTTCTGAACCCCTCCCTTTTCGGCTACGGTGCAACCCTCTGCCCCCCCTCCCCCGCCGCTTCCGTACTTTGCGCGCCCTTGGATCATTCTCCGGCTGAGGCGTCACTCAACCCTTATCTTGCAACAAGTAACATAAATCAAGGAATCTATTGCTATCACGAGTCACGATCTGCTAGTTATCCAGGTCGACTTTTACAAGGCATTTTCAAACATTTTTAACGACACAACGATGGCATCGAATTACTTTTGTCTGTAGTCTTTACTTTAAGCACAACCTTCGAGATGTTGCGCGCCCGCCATTTCGGAGGTTTTGTTAGACCATCTCGGAGGTTTTGTTAGACCATCTCGAAGGTTTTGTTAGACCATAGGTTTTGTTAGGCCATCTCGGAGGTTTTGTTTAGACCTGAACGTGATGCACGACTGTGACCAACAAATGTCAGACTTACCCAGCGCCGCCATCACGAAACCCGATCTCTTCTCGGATATATTGATGTACGGCGTCACGATGTCCACGTACAGAACGGCTGCGTGAGAGTTTACGATGGAGGATATTGTACTGAAAACGAGACAGAGATGCGGCAAATAAGGCACGAGACAGGAGTATAAGTGACAGACAGCACACAAAGCATTTTGGGTGTATACCGATCAATAACCGGACTCGGGTTCATTAAAGACGACGTTGCATTTGCGTCAGACATTACTCTCCCCCCCCCCCCCCTTGACATCATTTGTGGCATACGCGACGTGACTTCGAGATATAGCTGGACTTTCGTTATGTCACTTCCGCTCTTTTTATTTATTTATTTATTTATTCACAATACTGTAAGCCCTGTCGGGCTGTTACAGAGTGGGAACTACATCATACAATGACAATTCTAATTTACCAACAAAAGATTCAACTGTGTCTACATTCTCGAAGAAATCGGCGGCAAGACAGTTCCAGTCGACAATCGTTCTGACAAGAAAAGTGTTTTTAAATGTGTCAATTCTCGGTGTGTAGGGCATAATTACGTGTGGGTGATTGGTTCTTGATGAGACTCTTCCTGGGGGACGCAAATAGAGAGAAGGGTTTAAATTGAGCTTATTGTTGTAAAGCTGATATAAAACTTTAGTCGAGTGATTCTTCGGCGAATGGCAAGTTGGGGAAGTGTAACCTCAGTGAGCAGGGTTGTTATTGACTGTCTCCTCTCATAAACGGAAAAAATAAATCGCACTGCTAGCCTCTGAACACGCTCCAGTTTATCTATTTGATATTGGTGATGCGGGTCCCAGATCATACTAGCGTATTCTAAGGTAGGCCGAACAATAGTTTTGTACGCCTGAAGTTTAACCTCAGGAGGAGCACCTCTTAATTTACGTCTCAGTAGTCCAAGTTTCCGCTGCGCTGATCCGCAGATATTGTCAATATGTGCATTCCAATTTAGTGTATCTGTAATTGTCATACCAAGATATTTAATTTGGGTGGATCTTTTGATTTGGTTAGTATTCACTGTATAGTCAAACATTAAAGGCGTTTTCTTGTTTGAGACTGTCATGCAGGCAGACTTCTTAGGGTTGATTTCCATATCCCATTTTGCACACCAATTGTGAATAATGTTTAAGGCATCATTTAAACAAGTTTGGTCAGAGACAGTCTTGACGCGTGTAAACAAAAGACAATCGTCGGCAAACAATCGCACTTCAATGTTGGGATGTACACCACTTGCAATGTCATTAATGTACAGCAGAAACAAAATTGGGCCTAAAACCGACCCTTGCGGCACACCAGAAGGAATGGGCAAAAAAGATGAATGTTCGCCGGCTATTTCCACAAAATGTTGACGATTCGTCAGGTAAGCTTGAATCCACCTAATTATTTGTAAATTAACAGCGTAACCATGTAATTTATTTAGAAGTTTCGCATAACATACCCTGTCGAAAGCCTTTGATAAATCTAATGAAATAACATCTATTTGTTCTTTCGAATTCATAGCTGCAGCAAAGTGATGAATGGTTTCAAATAACTGTGTCACAGTTGAAAGGCGTCGGCGAAAACCATGTTGTTTGTTGTAAAAGAGGTTGTTATTTTCAAAGTACGCAACAAGATGTTTACCAATTATATGCTCTAAAAGTTTACACACTGTACATGTAATGGAAATGGGGCGATAGTTTTCAACCATCAGCTTGTCTCCAACTTTGGGCACAGGCACAACCCTTGCTAGCAGCCAATCACTCGGTACAACACCAGTTTCCAATGAGGAGGCAAAAATTTTGACTAAAAATAATGCAACCCATTCGCAATAGCGCTTTAAAAACTCGTTCGGTATTTTATCAGGCTCTGAAGAGTTCACTTCCGTCTTAAGTGAACTTACGACGGAACTCACTTCCGTCTTAAGTTCACTTCCGGCGTCCGCTTACGGACTCCAATTCACTTTAGCTTAGAGCCTAGCCGAGAGACAGCCCTGCTTCGACCCATGGGTCAGGTTGGAGACGGTCAAATATTATCGTAAACAACGCCATGAGCCATCACAAATAACCGTTGTAGAGGCGAAACACACAAAAAAGTGAAAAAGACGAAGAATGGAAAGAGTGAAAACAATGCAAAATAAAATAAATACAGAAGAATTATGATGTTGTCTTAAAGTGTTGTCTTAAAGTTTTCACACCCGGTTGTCATTAAATAGCGCAACGACGCTTTCAGTGTTTTCTGTGCTGAGCACAGATTCAATCAGTGTCTCTGGACTTTCTCTGTAGGGCCCTGATACACTGGTTCAGAACATACTCGACTATCGAGTCGGTCTGGCCTGTTAGAATGTTATTTTTTGGGCGCACTGTTGACGCTTGAGCACTCGCAGAAAGGATGGACAATCGTTTCTTCGAAGTAGCCAGCAGTTATCGCAATGCAGCGGTGTTGGTCACTTCTATGCGACAACTCTGTTCCTATATAGTGCGTACTTCAACCACACAGTGCATACTATGTGATGGGTAGCATGATTTGAACCTGGAAAAATCATGCGCGTGAAGTATTTTTGAACTTGATGCACCCACTACGTGGTCTTAAGGGAATACCCTGTGTGACGTGTGTGCCTTTGGTAATGAGTGAGAGGTTTTAAACCAGCAATTCGTTACGACAGTCACGTGTTCCGACGCTTGATCGCTATGCACGCTTGCACCACGCCATCTTACGGTGATATTACGTGTTGTATTGTGACGTACGTATACAGGAGGCGTGTGTTTCTAAAGCGTGCGACTTATTTTCACTGCACTTTCAAGCAGGTGAAGTTATTTTCACTGTAATTCCGAGTAGAAGCGCGGCTGTGTAGTAGAACGCTATGCTTGCCACGCAGACGACCTGGGTTTGATGCTCACTTCGTCAGGAAATTTTGTATTTTCTATTTATATTATTTGTATCTTGCTCGATTTTTCAGTCACGGACAAGATGATTTCTCGCTCACAACCAACGACGCCAACACCGACGCCGAAATTTCGACGGAACTGGCTCTTTAACGCTGTCGTGTTGAAAGGAGTATAGGCATTCGCGAAGGTCGCACCACACCATGGGCGGAACAGAATAGTGTATTACCTTATGGAGGCACTGATGACGCCAGCCAGGAAGAGGCCCCGGATTCCCATCAGTGCACTAGCGCTCGTGTTGATGTAGTACGGCACGATCTGCAAAATATTTGAAAAAAGAAAAAGTTACCCCGACTTGCACCTAGTCACAAAAAGATGGGTTACATCATAATTAGTGGACCACCTATAGGTGGTCCATCAGCTATAGGCTCACCAGCCAAATGAGGACCATATATAGATAGTCCTGGCTTGGCTAGGCTAGAATTTTCTAAGTTTTGCTTGAATCTCTCACTCACGTGAAAGATCCAAGAAAGAAAACTAAGTTTTGGCGTATCGAACTGTATCGATTGGGTATCGACTATCCATGACGTTTCAGCACCGAATCGATGCGGTTCCACTAGCTGAATTTGTTTCTTCGGATCAATTAACTTGATTAAACTAATTTGCACATATGTAAGATCAGATTTGAGTAACTCAAATTTATTTGAGCCTAAATTATGTCTGAGCTTATACAGTTTATTGGTGCTGAGTAGAGTTAATCTAAATGAGCATTAATTAGTATAGATTCAGATTGGCTCAATAACATTTGCGGAGGTCGACCTTCCTAACCGCACTGCCTATCCAACTCGGCTTTGTCATGGATAAGTAGGCATTGGATTAACTAGGTTAATTAGGGCTGTATAATTATGTCTATAGCGCAGTACTCTAGGCCTAATTAGGTTTGACAATAATTACCTTTACTTAACAAGGCTCGCATAAGCCTAACCTAGCTCGACATGGCAAAGGCAAGCTTGGCATGAACAGCGCCTCCTCTGGAATGACGATGAAACTTTTCGCTCTACGCCACACGGAAAAAAAAATCGAGCATAACAGCTTTATTGTAAAAACGCGCAAGAGTCATTTATTTACGACGTTGAGAGCGTTAAGTCAATTTCCTGCATATTCAGTGCGATTACCGCGTTTTCCGTTGAAACGCACCTGGCGTGTTAACACCGGACAAGTATACGTAATCAGAGAAATTCGCGGAAAGAAACAAAGTTTAAAAAGAGGCAATAAATGTGCAGCCACACCACATGTCTTGTTGCAATGCCATCGGTAGCCAGAAATAAAGAAAAAAGAAATAAAGAATGATGACGAAACCTAACAGCGTTACTCGTCTGGCGGGAACATTATTACGGCTGATGTTTTCGAGCGGTCGCGCTGAAAGAACGACGGTACGATTAGTTTAGCACTCAGTTACGTGTGTACGAGTTTAATTGCAAGGAGCAAATATTGTCGCTCGCCACGCTATTATGTACGCTCGAAGGCAGATGGAATTCAGACAGAGGTTTGTAGAAGGCAAGGCGCTCACTGGAAACGAACGAATAATTTTTTTATTGTGAGACTTCTGGGTGTGTTAAACGAACGTCAATGTTGGCAGTTTCGTTTGCCATTCCCGCTTCTTAAGTTACAACTTAGTGCCATGATGGTTATCATTGACCGTCATGAACGTCTCAACGTAACACTTGATTTGTCCCTAAGCGCGAGCAGTGAAAATGTGTAATTGAACTTCATTATAAAAAACTGATATAGTGAATTACGGGTTACAGTGAACTAAAGACGATCTTTAGCTGGTTAGTCTTCATTCCAGTTACATTTATTCTTTACACAACGAAATCAAAAAGTAGAGAACCGCGGCGATATTGAACGAAACGAAGCAAAATTTGGTTTGCGCGGGAAACTCGAAAGGTAGCGTAAAATGTAAAATAAATACGAAATGACAATTCGAAAGCACATTTTATTCAATTGTGGTTTTGAACTTGTAGTAAAAGTCACCAGATAAAACCGAAGATCAAATCCTTCTTCAAATAGATCTGAAAGCCGGCCTGTTTTCTCAAACTGACTCCGTTCGGTTGTCATTTCACCTTCTCATGTTCCGGTCTCCTTAATTTAAAAAACAAAAGGATAGAGGTAAGGTTTGCCTCTATTGTAGTTGTTTTAGTGCATCGCATATGCTTTCTTGTAAGATTTCTTACGCCGGACTGCCGGTCAGTTAGAACTGTTTTATGATGTGGGTTGTTAACACATAATAATTAGCCCTGTCGTGGTGGTCTAGTGGCCAAGCTACTCGGCTGCTGACCTGCAGGTCGCGGGATCGAATCCCGGCTGCGGCGGCTGCAATTCCGATGGAGGCGTAAATGTTGTAGGCCCGTGTGCTTAGATTTGGATGCACGTTAAAGAACCCCAGGTGGTCGAAATCTCCGGAGCCCTCCACTACGGCGTCTCTCATAATTATATGGCGGTTTTGGGTCGTTAAAGCCCACATATCAATCGACATATAGTAATTATAAAAATGCTGGGTGTTCTTTAACGCGCACCTTAATCTATGTACTATCAGCGTCATATGAAACCCGAACAGCGGCGTGCCTTCGCGATGGTATAGTGCGTGCCGTCCAGCTATCACCGTGGACAGGCGCGCGAATCCTGCTGCGCAGCTCTGCGCATATATGCGTCCATTGCTGTCCATGGTGGTAAGCAGTGTGGGTGGTGACGCTTTACAAGTGAACCCGTTACTGGTAGCGCGTTACTTTTTTTCGGTAACTTAGTAACGCGCTCGTTAAAATTAAAAAAAACTGTAACGGTTAACGTATACTTACGTTGCAATTTTTCGGTAACGTAAGGTTAATTTTTTTATCTTGTACGAGCTCACCTTAATGGATTCTGTTGTCTGAGGACAGCCTGCCGGTTTTGACAAAACAGCGAAGGGGGAACCGCTTGCCACGATTGCCTACTGGAACGTGATGGGCAATTTCAGACACCACCAGTTTCGATGTCGATGACCTTCAGTGGAGAGGATGCCTGGACTCAGAAAAAGCCGATTACTGCAATTTTCCTGAGAGTTCAGCGATGCTTTGCTTGTGACTAGCGTGGACGATTGAATATAATATTGTGTATAACGTCGCAGTGAGAAAAAATGGCTTCACCGTGTGCCACTGCCACAAGCCATCACATGTAACAAGCAGCTTTAAGCCACTATAACATAGCTGACGTCCGGTACATTTGTACGAATGATACTCGTCAAATGAGCATACTGATTATAATTCTTTTTGGGGGCTAGAAGATTTAGGTGAATCATAAATTTGAGGTATAAAAAAACTTATTGTGAGTTCCTGTCACAAAGACACATTTATTAAAGTTCACGATCGTGTAGTAACGGCAGAGGTAACGTCCGTTGCTTTTTTTGGTAACAGCAACGCGTTACCTTTATTTTTGTAGGTAACATAGAGCGGTAACCCGTTTCTTCTTTGTTGGAGTAACGAGTAACGTATTTTGTTTTTCGGTAACGGATACAACCATAGTCATAAGTGAACGACGCGCACTATACCATAGCGAAAGCTTGCCGCTGATCGGGTTTCATTTGACGCTGATATAGTACATGGGACTCGGGCAGTTTCACCCCCCATCGAAAATGCGGCCGCTGAGCGGCTATGTTGTGAATGTTGCTGTATTGTTAATATAACGACCTAATTAATGGTCTCGATGCTAATTCACCATAACAACATCGACTGTAAGTGTCTTTTGTTTCACCTGATCGTAACGTGGGATGTCTCCCTTGAGAACCGGGTCGCAGTCCCTAAACCAGAAAACGATGGCGAGAGCCGTTATTCCGTTGAGAGCGTAGAAGAAGGACAGAATGCCGATGCAGCAAAAGGCTACTCTGAAAGAAAAGAAAAATAAAAGAAACGATATAAGCCAGCATGACGATACACCCATCCTTGTGCACTTATATCGCCCCGCCGCGCTGGTCTAGTGGCTAAGGTACTCGGCTGCTGACCCGCAGGTCGCGGGCTCGAATCCCGGCTGCGGCGGCTGCATTTCCGTTGGAGGCCGAAATGTTGTAGGCCTGTTTGCTCAGATCTGGGTGCGCGTTAAAGAACGCCAGGTGGTCAAAATTTCCGAAGCCCTCCACTATACGGCCTCTCTTATAATCATATGGTGGTTTTGGGACGTTGAACCCCACAAATCAATCAATTGTGCACTTACATGGGACCGCAACACTTTTCGCGCGTGGTCGAAAAACGCTGCCGATCGGTAGTATATAGAGCACCCCGAGAACACGCGAGACAAATAGACTCTATTGAATTCTATTTTTTGTTGAAAACCTTAAATTCTCGAGTGCCATCTAATGGGTTCTTCGACTACTTTGAAGACAGTGCGCATGAGGGTACTACATGGTTAAACGGCTGTAGTGACAAATATAACCTGACAAGTGGGTACACGTTGCGCATAAAGTAGGCTTACGCTTTGGCGTCGCGCATCGTTTTGGCCGCCAGGAATCGCTGCGTAATCATCTGGTCCAGGCCCAGCCGGACGAGGTGCAGAGGGAGAGCGCCGATCGCCGCTGCCCACACAGTCTCGTCGGTGGTGATGTCCGCTTTGGTCCTGCAAGAAGTACGATTGTGAATAATGGGAGAGGAGCGTTGGGCTTGAAAAGTTTTCAGCTACTTGTACTTGAATGTTGATACTACATGGAGGAAGCAAACGCGAAAATTGTCAAACTGGTATTTATGCAACAGCAGAATACCAATGCAAAAGGAAACGTATAGGTTAAGAAGAAGGTGAAGAAAACAGAGAGGGACATGTGGAAGATTCGAATTCCTACGAAAGAAATCATCACTGGAGATACCGAGCTTTCAAGCGGGAAATTGGAAAAGAAAATATCTATGATTATTCTCGGGGTAGTTTTTTGGTGTTCGAGTCCACAACGGGATATTGCGGACCAAGACGTACCGAGGCTAATGAGAACGCACAGACACCTTATGTAGTGCGCGTGGAGAGTAGGAGGAAACGGCTGAACATTTCATGATGTTCTGTAAAGGGCTCCATCGTATAGTCCAAGATAATGGCGGGCAATACGCGATAGCATTGAAGAGCTCGTTTCGCAGAAATTCCGGTGTTGGCGGTTGGTGAGCGAAAAATCGTGATCTTTGCGTCACCGAACATTCGAACATCTCTGCGAGAGTTTTCAATCGCTGGCCGTCCAGGAAGTGCCCGTGAACGGGCCGGGGCGGCAAGGTCGCTTGGCTTGGCGGTCACTACGTGGGACTAGCCGGGTGGCGCGGGTTCTCCCCGGCATCTTCTCCGGACCAAAATAAAGTTTTCACCAATAAAGTTTTCACATTTTGTATGATAATTACTGCAACATTAAAGTGACAAAAGCAACTTCCCCTATACCCTGATCGGCTTTGTTGTCTGTCGGTTTTCGTTAATATTGAATATATTTATTATATTTAATATTAACTAACAGGAATAGCTAAGAGTATACCCTTAGCCATTCCTGTTTAGTTTCAGTCATGGACACGTGTTGCTTGCGCTCTGTTTAGCAAGAATCCGAACCAACTTGTCGAAGTGTGTGTTCTACTAAAGCGCATAAAAGGATTGCAGACTGCGCCTTTTGTTTGTGCCCGACTTTCCTATCGTGCCAGTCATAAAGAACACTTCCGTTCCGAGTAATTTTTTTTGTTTACGTGTTAAATTCAGTAGCTAATACTGTCAGTACCGTTAGGAATTTTCACAGGAGTAGGCTTAAATAATCTAAAAGCACGGTGGTAGACATTCGTACAGTTATACAATAGTTATATGGGGACATGAAAACAATAATAAATTATAATCACCATGAATCTATGTTAAGGAGTGCGAAAAAGATAACGCATTATAACTTTGCTTCAGTTACATGTGGAACACTACAAAACAACCGAACACGTAAAAGTATCTTATATAAAACCCAATGAAAGCCCCTCCACAACCTCTCGTCTGCCTTACTCTTTTTTTTTTTCACCTCGGCCTCAGCATCTGTATACGCCGCACATGTGAACAAAATGTGGTAAGATACTGCGCCAGCGTATACACTTGTATACCGAGCACTGAAAAATAATAGCACGTGCTCATTTTGCAGCTGCATCTGCTTGTCGTGTGCAATGAGTACGATAGCATCGGACATCTGTGTCTCGCGGTCTCTATAGAACAGCGCACTTCCAGCTTACACTTCCTGTGTTAGTTGTTTGGCTACATCTTCAATTCGTTTTTGCACTTTTGTTCTTTTTACTACGCTCACACTGCTCGGCGCGGAGTCACTTGATGTAATTTCTTTTGAAGAGCTCTTCAAAAAAGCACCTGTTAGCGAGGATGCGCTCCATGTCGTGTTGTTCCTGTATTTTTTTTTCCTAGGGTTAGCGCACCATATTTGTGCCAAAGCTGCGCAGTTTATGATGCGAATGCGTCATAGGTCCCCATCACGCGAACGATGTGGCGTCCGTCCGGACAGCGGTGTTGCGACAGGAGGGCAAGAAAACGCACGTGACCAAGTGACGGCGTCATATAATGACGCCATTACCGAAATACGACCGCCGCGGCCCGCAATCCAACCCATGTCGTCTTCGCCATTGAATTTTCTACAATATTTACTAGAGAGAACTTGGGTGCTGCGATTGTCCAGCCACCTTGGAAATGATGGGTAGTACATGAATTTTATGTATTTTATTTATTTATCCAGGTACACTATAAGGGCGCACTAGGGGCATTACTTAGGGGGGAGCCCGAACAGAACACGATTTTCACAGAGTAAACATATAATTACATGTTCAAGCGTGGCACTGAATTGACGAGGGCGGGACAGACAGAACACACACGCAAGTGCAACTGAAAAGCATCCTAAATAATTGCGGGTTGCTACAGGCAACATCGGTGTCCATGCCATAAATAAATGAATGCAACAGCTAAAGGCGAGAATGAAGTGTATACCAACGTGGAATGACGAGTTACAACCTCGACATAACATCACAGTTTCCACATCAAGAACAGCTGGCTGGTCGCCGACAGTCTCACGACGATAACGCAATAGGCATTGCAAAACGGCGCGGGATGAGACAAGCGCAACCCCTGTGAACACCGGCAATTCCGCACACGTGGTGGCGCTGCAGGGTTGCTCGCAGACAAGCTTCCCTAGATAAAGGTAGCGGCTCAAACCCGCAAGACGCCCCAGAAAGAAGAGACACGACACGCGCAAGCTTGTGTGTGTGTCTTTCCAGTATTTTTTTCTTGTGGGGCGTCTTGTGCGCCTGCGCTGCTACTTTTACCTCGGAAGTATATATCGACCAGGCCCAAGGGAAGTTTTTTTTTTTTTTTTTGATACAAGCTTCACTTAAAAGGATCAAGGTGCGTGGTGACAGCCCGTAAGAGAGGCTCGTTTCATAGGTCCAGCATAGGCATGCGTAGGGTACCCCTTCAGGGGGGGGGGGGGGCTAGGTGGTGGGGGTGAAAGTCTGTCACAGAGCCCTCTTCGCCTCTCTATCATGTCAATGCGGGAGACTGGCTTCCTCCCCCCTTCATTCCCCCTCCATCCCTGCGGCACGCCTATGCGCACCAGAGATGAAAAGAATAACTTACTCCCAGAAGTAGAAGGTGGTGTTGAAGTCCGTGATCGGTCGCATGGGCATTTCGCTGTGGACCGAGTCGAAGACGATCTTGCCGATGATGATGAGCGGCGAGGCGGTCATGATGAGCCCCTGCGCACAGTCGGCCCACACGACACTCCGAAGACCTCCCTGCGGGACGGACACCGCCGTTTGGTAAGGGCTGCACCCGCAACTTTTCAGCTTTATGTTAACGATAGTAATGGTTTTCATTCGCACCGATACAAACTTGGTGGAGGGGATGGGATTAAAAGCGATGGTTCACTTGATTAGGTTCTCGTCCCCTTAAATGTTTACATAAAGTGGAGGCGGTGGCAGCAACAGAACACAACAGCTGATAAAGATGCATATAAGTAAGATAATTAGGAATTACACAGCTTTCAAACACTGCATACGGCGGCGTTGACACAAATAAAAAAAATGCAATGCAGTGAACATACAAGTACAGATCAGAAGTCTCAATGCATAAACCACAAATACATAAACATAAAATTTACGCGCATTGGTGGTTGTATTTCTTTCTTCTGTTTTTGTTTATTCTTCTAGCCAGGAATTTTGAAAGAAAGGTTTTTAATGCCTGGAGTGTTAAATAAATATTGGCGAAGTTGAGAAAAAGTGATTGGTAATACCTCAGGAATGTAACATGTTTAACTGTATTGGAAGCTGATAAGTAATTATTGTTGTTATTAGTCCTTGTACGAGGAAGCATCCAGTGTGTTTGATGACGGTGTGGGTACTTTGGTTGATAACGTTCCACGGACGCTATGTCCGTAATAGTAGATAAGCATTTTTTTTGTTCGATCTGATGGTGGCGTAAAAGCCTGTAAGTGGGAAAAAAAGTACCGCAAACTTGGAAAAATTACCCAGATGAAGAAGAAAGAGTACCGGAAATTTGAATGAACGAATTCCAACCCTGCAGGCTTGGGGGCCAACGAACCACGCAGCATGCACCGAATAGTTCACGCGCGCGTTTGCACCGAGTGGGTACGGTATACGGTATGGGTAACATGAAGGCGTCCTCTTACATACGAGCTACAACTCTATTGCGGAACAGCGTTTGCGAATGCATGCTTACTCGGGATGAGATTTATTCGGGCGTAACAGAGACACGGCGTGCCCGCGAAAAAAGGGGAAATGACAACAATAGTGTTTATGATGTAGCGTACCAAAAGGGGGGACATAATTAGCAGAGACATAATTAGCAGGTACATAATTAACAGGGACATAATTAACAGGGACGCCTTAGTAGAGTGCTCCGGAAAAATCGACCATTTGGTTTTCTCTAACGTGCCCTGAAATCGCACAGTAAACAGCTCTCTACCATTTCGCCTCCGCCGAAATGCGACCGCCATGACCGGGACGGAACCCGCGACCTCGCAAAAGATTTAAAATACATTACAAATGCAGAAACCCAAATGTTCGTATTGTCTGAGGAATTCATTGTTAACATTGATTGATTGATCCATATCTGGGTTTAACGTCCCAAAACCACCATAATATTATGAGAGACGCCGTAGTGGAGGGCTACGGAAATTTCGACCTCCTGGCGTTCTTTAACGTGCACCCAAATCTAGGCACACGGGCCTACATCATTTTCGCCTCCATTGAAAATGCAGCCGCCACAGCCGGGATTTGATCCCGCGACCTGCGGGTTAGCAGTCGAGTACCTTAGCCACTATAGACCACCGCGGCGGGGTTGTTAACATTTGTTGAACACATGTGTATCAGAAAAACATGTTCAATACTCAATATTTGAAGGTGACAAATTGTTCTACAATGCCTTGCTACATCAGCAGTGTTAAAGCAGGCGTGACGCATCAGTCACGTCGATGAATTGTCCGGAGATTATATCCTGGCGTTTAATCCTATGAGTAATTATATAAAATATTATTTATTCAACACTGCGGACTCGTGATGCATGCAGGGTGGTTAATACAAATATAAATACAACAGAAGTAGCAATGACACAGCACTAATAAAGGTGAAGTATGTTATCTTGCAGTTTGATCACATGTATCGGTGAGACGATTACATTCACTAATCGTTCTAGGACATTATGACTACTAAAATGGGTGAGTGCGAGCTAAATATGGGGTAAAGGGCGTGTTGCTCCAAGCAGTCATTACGTCGCGGACGTGAAAGTAAATCGTTGTCTCCGCGTAACGAAAGTCAAATAACATTGGTAGATATTTCATACTTACGAGTGCGGTGTACACCGTCCCAGACACACCAAGGACAATGCTTGCAATTATTGCGGATATGCCGAGCACTGTAAATAAAATTAAGAGAGAAAATGAATAATAATATATAAGAGAACGTCGTTAAAGGGAGACTAAGGTGGAACAGTGACTTAGTTTAGACTAATCAGTCGTCCTCTGAACACCTAGTGACATTAATGTCACCAACAGAAGTTTGTGTTTAGACATGAGAAAACTGATGACAAAAGTGTCGTTTTTCAAAGTTTCCACTGATATTTTCAATGGTGCCATCGCGGAATTTTCAAGAGCTTCTGCAATTTGCAAACATTGTCTCAGCGTCATTTTTCCAAAACTTGGTGTGTCAGGTATCTGGCTCTTTCAGAAGAAAAAAAGATGTTCTACATTTTTACTTTTTTTGAGAACAACGTAGTCCATAATAGACGCCGTTAGAACCTATGACGTTGTAGGAAATGGCGCAGCAATGGCAGGCTGGCACCGCCACCCACACTTAAACTCCTTTGCATTCTCAAGGGGGATTTGCTTGTGCACAACTAACACCCTACAATAAGAGTGCTTTTTTTTTTGACAGGCCAAAGCACCCATGTCATGGTAGTTGTAGTGTTTCGAAACACTCGTGTAGTTGCAGAAAGGTTTCTTGAAGGGCCAGTTGGTACACGATACTGAGGGGAACAACACACACACACAAAAAAAAGACGGGACGGAGAAAGATTGAACGCATGACGCAAGCGCTGACGAACAACTGTGTGTAAAGTTTATTACACCTGGAAATATATAGCTGAAAACAAGAAGAAAAACGATCACGTGCTCACAAGTGTTGAAAGGCTGAAAAGAATCTGCCACGAGTCGAAAAGTACAAGTTAACTACTCAAAAACATTATCTCTTTTTTTCAGGAGGGCAAGTGAAAGCTCACTGACGCACATGTTCCCTCTCGTCTTGATATGAAAAGCCTCGTTTGTTCTGGTTTTCAGCTATATACTTCCAGGTGTAATAAATTTTGCACATGGTTGTTCGTCAGCGCTTGTGTGGCCTGTTCAATCTTTCCGCGTCCTGTTTTTTTTGTTCTGTTCCCCTCAGATTCGTGAATGAGTGTTTTGGTTTGTCAAAACACCCTTATTGTAGGTTGTTAGTTATGGACACGCAGATCACCCTTGTGAGTGCAAACGGGCTTACAGCGCAAATTTTCTTTTTGTGTGCCAGGTCTCTTCTTTTGGTGAACGTGATTATTACGGTACTGTGTAAAAGAGAAATTTACTAATACGAAAAACGTATCTTTTCAGTGTCCTTTCAAGAGGGGTAGACAGAGTTGTGTGTCTCATACCACCTCATCCAATTAAGCTCTGTGGTCAGGGGCAAGCCGAGTGTTTGGTTTCGTTGACAAAGCTGATTTGCAAAAATGCATAAGCTAATCAAGTTCGCTCATCTACCGGACGTTAAGTGCGTATGCCTGTTCGAGGCTGTTGATTTCGCCGCATCATGCAAATTGACGTTTAGCATATAATCTGGGAAAATATTATTCTGTTTATGGACATCATTATGTGGCGTCATATAACGATAATTTTCTTCGTAATGTGCCGTCCGCTTCACATGCACGAATTACCGCTGGTTAGATTCTGTCACGCAAATGTTGGAGTCCTGTTAACTGGAATCACTTGAGGCACGATGACAAAAGAACCGGTTGAAAGCTCTTTTCAGGATACTTCAAGGACAACTAAAAATTAACAAAGATTTGTACTTAAAAGTGCCGGGGAACGAAGCAGTCGGGTTAATCACAACTGTGTTTTAGTACCGTACTCTTGTCGGAGTGATGTGTTTCGTTATTCTTTTTTTGTTCCAGCTGCAATTGAGTTTTGGAATGCGTTGCCAGGCATTGAAGTAAATGCAAGCGATCTTTGCCAATTCGAAAAATTGTTGGATATGTATTTGAGTGATAGAGTTGCCAGATGATTAACCTGCATGCTTCCTTGGTTTGAGTTTCTTTGTTTTCTTTCTCCCAGCTGTGCTTATAGTGCGTTCCAGGCATTCCTGTAAATGCAGGCAGTGTTTGTCTATTGATACTTTTTTACACATGTATTAGTTGATTGCGTTACTACGTGATTTAGGTGTACATTTATTGGTTAGTATTTTGTTGTAATCTCCCTGCAAGAGCCGTCAACAGAGGGCTGACAGTATTATGAAATAAATAAATAAATAAATAAATAAATAAATAAATAAATAAATAAATAAGTAAATAAATAAATAAATAAATAAATAAATAAAAGAGACGTTCTAAATATTCCTAATTGAACAGGAATGATGTGTTCACCTTATATGAGGACGAGCTTGTCTATTTATGACGCTGGAAACCTGAACGGTCTGACTGATTCTATATGAGAGGCCCTGACACCATTACCTAGCGAACCACGTAAGTTATGTACAATGAATGCTTGTTTTTGCTGGCATAGCAAAACCACTTGTCCTTGAAGAGGACTCCAGCTGGCGCGATTTTTCTACGAAAGGGGGAAAGGGCACGCCATTTTGTGGATGTAGCCTGTACGGTATTCAGGTTTCTCACCCGTACTATGTCCAACACTAATGACGCTAATATAAATACGTCGGGCGCACTCCCGCACAAGAAGCCGCAGCTCATTAGCTCCTTTGATTACATGAAGCTGCCCTCTGTGCCCTTCAATTAGCTTCTCCGACACTTTGGAACGTGTTTAGTAATCGTGCGAATGAGGTGGCTGAGATACCACACGACGCGTGATTCCTATATACTTGCCGAAGTCGTTTATGGTGTTGTGCACCGGCGCATACGTCGAAGAACGCACGCAAACGTTTAATTAAGACTCAACGCGTCCTTGTATCACGTGTTGAGCAGCAACGCTAAACGCTCGGTCGCAGTACACGTGAAAAATGGCGAAAGCGAGAACTCTCACTATGCTGGTTTACTGTCCACCTTGACATTTATACAACTCGCCTCTGCCTTGCCTTGCCTCAGACAACTCTTCTTCTTCTCTTTCACTCTTTTAGACCCTCTTTCCCCCTTTCCAAAAACAGGGTAGCAAAACGGAGTTCTCTTCTGGTTAACCTCCCCTTCTTTCATTTATCTTCATCTTTCACCCTCTCTGAGACGAATCCATGCACTACTCATAATTCTGATGGTGACTGAAGCGACATGCGTTCTGACTCCTGTAGACACTAGCGCCAGCTTTCCCTCTGGTTTGTTACTACAAAACTCTAGTGTAGCAGGAGCGCGCGAATAGCTGCGATTACAGTCGTGTTTTGCTGTGTTTTGTTCCACAAGTCGTGATGACGTGAAAGGTCGTGCAACGAGTGAGTGTTCGGAATGGACGTGACTTACTTGTTGAAACGGCGACCGCTGCGCTGTAGATGGCCACTGCACCTAATGCTTGCTGAATAGACAAAAAAAAAGCACGGGGAAAGACTAATAAATTAATTGATGCTCGCCTACAGCGAAAGTTCTGTTCACATAGGTCTGGCACGTACAGCGCGGTACACTGTTGAACGCAACACTACATGGTGCGCTAACGCTGATTGTAAGTGGTATAGTTGAAGCTGTATACAGTCGCACTCCCTTCTCTTGTGTCAACGTACGCGTGCGCTGTGTTAAAATATTTTCAAACACACCAACCGGGCCCACAAATATAGCTTAGTAAAATGTCAAGTGGAGAGAGTGGTTGAGTGCCAAATATTCAACGCTTTCTCTCAATTGGCAAACTGTCAGCTGGCACGCCTGTCGATCTAGCCGTAGTTGTTTCGATAAACCATGGAACCATTAGCTCTTGGTGGTGCTTTAGGTAAAGGCTATTTGTTAAAGTAAAACAACCTCGTACCTTTAGATCTGCAAATAGTGGCTGGGAAATAGGGTGGCTTGGTTGCTTGAAATCATTTCGTGGGTACGTGCGTGTGAATATCACAATTTTTTTAGATAACTATACATGTCATGCGAAGTAGTCGCCGAGAAGCGGCATGCGCCGCATTGTTTCGTTTTGAGACAGGTCACGTCATTTGCTACATGTTTGTAATGAGTGCGCGTACATTCTCTTACATGCGATGCTATTAAAATGACAGCGATAGTACGTATCTTGTCATTTATGTTATTCACGTTATGATGCAGATGACATATATATGAAATCTTTTTTTGTTTGTTTTTGGCGAAGGGTATACTTTCAGACCTGAAGTGGCAGTATAGCTTTTTTTTTTTTGCAAATTTCTTGTCCCGTAAACGTTTTTCATTGGGAGTTCACTTTCACAGCCAGAGCTTGAGTTATGCTTGAAAACAAATATTTGCTTTTTAAGCAGAATAAATATCAGAAATACATAATTGCGGTCAGGTATACTCACGCTGAGAACGAAATATATGAAGGATGACGCTATTCCAACGCTGTTCCCGTACCGCATGCGGAGGTACTTGTACATGAAATCGAAAACGGAAACATGAATCAGCCTCCAATGTCTGCCCCACCTCATCATCGCAATAAAGCTGCCTAGAAAAATGACACGTTCAGACAATGGCCCTGCGATCACTCAATTGTCACGGAAACGACGAGGATTCGTTCGTTCATCATTACTTCTTTCATTATTATATGTATTTAGAAAGTGGTTAGGGACCACATGCGGCACCGGTCACTTCTGTGGCATCATGGTCATTGAGTTAATGCACTTGACAAGCCTGGCAAGGGCTAACATTGACACCACGTGACTTATTACGTGACGTCCGAATGAATGTATTCCTTAGAAAACTGAGAGATTGGTAGGTACGCAACTTTATTAAAAGTCCAACTATTAAGAGTCTAGCGAGCTGACCCGGGCTAGTCCTCCAAGTGCTGTCTTCCGAGGAGGATAAAGTAATGTCCCCAGACTGCAACAATTTTATTCCCAGACTTACGAGGTCATTGCAATCTACTTGCCAGTGGATCGCAAGGTCGAGTCCAAGTAGCTTGCCAAGACAGTGCCTGCCTGGCTCACCACTTCTGCCTGAACAGGCTAGTCAGTCGCAGACAACAGCGACACGCACGCCTCATTGAAGGAAGTCAATATATTAATAATCGTATCTGGGCTTCAACGTCCCAAAACCAAGATAGGACTATGAGGGACGCCGCGTAGTGGAGGTATCCGGAACCTTTGACTATCTGGTGTTCTTTACCATGCACTTGCATCGCACCGTACCTCTACTATTTTGCCTCCATCAAAATGCGACAGCCACGACCAACATCGAACCCGCTACCTTCTGGTCGGCAGCCGGGTACCATAATAGCTACACCCTGGTGGACCATGGGAGGAAGCTGGTAGTATAGGTTTTTTGGAGGAGGCGAACATCAGATATCCATGTAAAGCACGTTGCTGCATTCCCAAAGAACGTCATTCTGGGTAGCCTTCACACACTTGCGATGTCACCAGCTTGGTGGAATTTCAGTCGGGTAAACCTTGGATGAACGGTGAGGGCCGGGAAAAGCGTCTGTTTGGACTTCCTTACAGATAGTGGCCGGTTCCCTCGTTGAATCGGCATGTGGGGTCGCGTGTGTATTGCGGTTCTCTCCGCGATAAGTGGTAATCTCGTTATATGTGGGAAGGTTAGGGTAGAAGGGTTCACCTGCCGATTGATTGAACCTCGTGCCAGCTGAAGTGAGCTTCAGGCCACCACAGTGGAGCGCATGCACCTGCGAAAGAATAGCAGCGTGCTCACCTCGAAGACGGACGTGACCCTGTGCTCGTACATGACGGGCAGGAACATGGTGGTGACCACGAAGCCCGCAGGCACGAACGCCGGGATGGCCCAGAGGGTGTGGAATCCGTAGACGTAGTAGTGCGCCACGAAGGCGACGATGCTCATGGCTGTCACGCTGGACGCCACGGCCGAGACGGCCAGTGGCAGCGACGGGATGCTGCGACCGCCCAGGAAGGCCTCATCGCGGCTTACGCTGCTTCGCCTGCGGAACGAGAAGTACAGGCCGGCACCTGCGCAGCGCACGTGGGTTCGTGTTAATTAAGCGACCCAAAAGGAGTTCATAATTACAGGGGGCTTAGCTATGGTCGGTACGTTCTCACTATAAAAAGACAGTGGGTGCAAACACGTTTTTTCTTCTAGAAGGGGTATACCGACGCCATGATACCAAGGCGAGTTTGCTCTACCTTACAAATCTTTAGCCTTCAGAAACGGCACTGAGCAAGCACTGATAAGAGATATTGTTTTGATATTACGAGGTCGATTTCCCCATTGCGCATCTATTCTGCCGACACATACACCACCTTGACGTCATGCAGGCTACCGCGCTAATTATGCTGGCTTCGAGTGGCAGTCTGGCTAGTTGTGATGACGTAAGGAACCAAAAATTTTTTACAGTGGCTGCTTGCGCGTCACCAATTGATTCGTGGTGCGGAGCGGCCGTGGAAACGTCACGACATATTGGTTGAACACGTTACGAGCAGTTCAAATCGTGTTTTGACGACAGGGTACAGCCGGAACCGAAATTAGCTTTCTAGAAACCGTAACTAGTGCTTAAAAGTAGTCCCTAGACTCTTGAGGGCTTGACCTTTCATTTGACGCAACAAAACCACAACTGAAAATTTCTCGTGTCAGTACTTCTTTCAAGGGGCCGCAACACCGCAATTAAATATTTCACAGCACATGGAACACACGCACACACACACAGAGCATTAAGTTACAACTGGACTTTTATTTCCTGCCATAGCAATATATATGGGTCATTCTAAATGCAGAAAGTGTGGCGCAGAACGGAACAGAGACCAGACGACAATCATGTCACCGATACTCTTTCCTTAGTAAAAAGACTTTTAGTTATTCTCTTTTTGAAGATAGGTATAACTTTTGAGCATAGCCAATAGGTAAAACTGTGTTAAACTTCACTGCCTCTGTTTTTGACATTGCCACAGGCACCAATTTATTGCGGCTTGCGATTTTGTTCAAGCTAATAAACTTATCACACTGTGAATCTCAACTCTAATAAATTGTGTTGATTTTCGATAACTCACAGCGCAAGAAGGACGCAGAGGAAGTATAAGATAACGCGAGTGCTCAGTGAAGATTTATTAAAGGAAAGACTCAAATATATACACAGGTTAGCCTGCTTCGACAGAGCAACTACGCATGTGCAGCAGAGTCACTCACGTGATAGCACTTTTTCGGGAACGTGGAGCATCAATGCGCGTCAGAAAACGGAAAAGAACAACAAAAAACCCTTTCTAACGTGCCAACTATCTTAGGATGCTTCGCAAGTCCGTTTTTTTTTTTGTTAGCATGGCCTGTTGTGTAGATAGGTTTTATTGCTTTTTTTGTTTTTTGACGCACGTGGATGCTCCACGTGTCCCGTAAAAGTGCTATCACGTGAGTGACTATGCTGCACATGCGTAGTTGCTCTGTCGAAGCGGGCTAACCTGTCTACATATTCGTGCCTTTTCTTTAATGAATCTTTCGTTGAGAGTCAGCGCTCGTGTTGTGTTGTACTTCGTCTGCGTCCTTATTGCACTGTGAGTTTGCGAAAATGAATGATCACCAACTAGCCCATATTTCCCTTCTTGTTCAAATGCTGTTGAAGTAACATTAATAAATGTTCTAATTTGTATAATGCGAATGGTTCGGTGTAGTAAACGCAGTGGAGTGGTCTGGTCAGTTCAAAATGTCAGAACTTCGCTTTTTGCAGCTTTGTTTCCCTTCTCTCTCTCTCTCTCTCTCTCTCTCTCTCTCTCTCTCTCTCTCTCTCTCGCTCTCTCTGTTTTTACGTCATTACTATTTTACATTCCTTTTATTGTTTTTTAAATAAAATGATTAATAAGCGGTATGGTTGGCTACGCTACGTTTTCTTTACCGATCCCCCCGAGGAGGTGCCACATTTTAGAGGAATCTAATTAAATAAAATCAAATCTCTATATGTGTTGCCTCTTCAATAAACTTCCAGTTGTGAGTGTGTGTCTGTGTTGTCATCTCTTTCTCTTGTCCCGGTTTCTTGCGGTGCCCCGCTAGTCGTAATTAGAATGACTCGTTACCAAAAAGCCAAAATGGCTGTTTCGCTGCACGTATATGCTCTTTTCATAGAAAATAGAAAAAAAACAAAACAAAACAAGAACAGAGCATACGAGGTCTAAAAATTGCAATAAAAAGGAACAGTAACCAATCATCTATGTCACATGTCTTGCGACATAAAATTAAATTTTCTTGCTCGAAAGAGAAAGCGAAGCTACACTGTTGCACTCTTTATGACAATTCAAAATTTTCCGGGCTTCTGTGATTTTTTTTTGTTTTTGCTAGTAGACGTGTCTGATTGAAAAGACGCTGGTATCTACTATTCCGACTATGAATTCCCAAATACCTACTGATCGCCATAATATTGCGCCCGTGTTCCTTAAGACGTTCACTAAAACACCTTCCGGTGTGACCGACGTATTTACCGTGACAAGATAGCGGCGTGAAATACACTACGCATTCTTCAAATCGGACGAGCATATATATTTATGGTTGGCGGTGCCCACTTCTTTGAGGTCTTGCGTCAGAATTCACCTGGCGGGGGGTACATAATCAGAAGCTTTTCGAATTTAATCTGCGTCCATCAGGTGGTGCCACTCACTTGTGAATCACAATTAAGTCTACACACATTTCATAAAAAAATAAAACCGTCCTGAAGCGCTGTTTTTTCAGGCTCCGCACTACTAGTATTGAAGATGCCCTAATTTTTTAAAACTTTCTTTTAAAATGAAGGCCACGTTCCAAACTAAACTCGCCCATATTATATGAGCGAGCTGTCATCTTTATATTGCCCCGCCGCGGTGGTCTAGTGGCTAAGGTACTCGGCTGCTGACCCGCAGGTCGCGGGTTCAAATCCCGGCTGCGGCGGCTGCATTTCCGATGGAGGCGGAAATGTTGTAGGCCCGTGTGCTCAGATTTTGGGTGCACGTTAAAGAACCCCGGGTGGTCAAAATTTCCGGAGCCCTCCACTACGGCGTCTCTCATAATCATATGGTGATTTTGGGACGTTAAAGCTTACATATCAGTCAATCATCTTTATACTCTAAATTTCCTGATTCCATCATACTACCGAATGCTTTATCGAATGCGACATCGTCTCCCTTCCCTGTCTGCGCGTTTTGTAACGCCTGAGGACCAATGCTTATCTTGTCTAAGCTTTACATGCCAAACAATGATATTGCGTGTGCATACACGAAACGCCAAGTGCATTTCTTCGTCGTTGCCTTCGCGTGCACGATGGCAGCAACTCGGCTCCGCCAACACCGACTAAATTCCAAGGCCGAAAGGCTGCCGCAGTGACGTCAGAGGGTGGAGGCCCAGTTACGCCGCGAACGCTGCGGAAAGCCGGTGTTTCGTTCGCGTTTTAGGAGAACCAACGCTCCCGCTCTCGCAGCTGCTGCGGCTTGATTGGGCCGAATAAAAGATGTGGAAAAAAAAGCCTTACTGAGCATGCTCAGTTGGGCAACTGGGCCTCCAACCTCCGACGTCACTGCGGCAGCCTTTCGTCCTTGGAATTTAGTCGGTGTTGGCTCCGCTCGCCGACCACCTCTCTCACGCAACTCTCCCCCCCCCCCCCCCACACACGAATGCAATCATTTACTAACAGACCTAACAGACACGGACACACACACCAACACAGCAATACAGATACGTACACTTTTCACACGCACACTTGTGCGCACACATGCACACACACACACACACACACACACACACACACACACACACACACACACACACACACACACACACACACACACACACACACACACACACACACACGTACACACGAATGCAATCATTTACTAACAGACCTAACAGACACGGACACACACACCAACACAGCAATACAGATACGTACAGCTTTCACACGCACACTTGTGCGCACACACACACACACACACACACACACACACACACACACACACACACACACACACACACACACACACAATGCAATCATTTACTAACAGACCTAACAGACACGGACACACACACCAACACAGCAATACAGATACGTACAGCTTTCACACGCACACTTGTGCGCACACATGTGCGCACACATGCACGAACACACAAACACGCACACACACACACACGCGCGCAGACACAGACGCACACACGTACACACGAATGCAATCATTTACTAACAGACACGGACACACACACACACACCAACACAGTAATACAGATACGTACACCTTTCACACGCACACTTGTGCGCACACATGCACAAACACACAAACACGCACGCACACACACACACGCCACACACACACACACACACACACACACACACGCCACACACACACACACACACACACACACACACACACACACACACACACACACACACGAATGCAATCATTTACTAACAGACCTAACAGACACGGACACACACACCAACACAGCAATACAGATACGTACACCTTTCACACTCACACTTGTGCGCACACATGCACAAACACACAAACACACACAAACACACACACACACACACACACACACACACACACACACACACACACACACACACGCGCGCGCGCGCGCGCGCCTGCTCACGCACGTACAGGTTCGCGACGAAGTTTCCGCCTTCGATGAAAGGGACGAAACAGAATCGGCTTTCGAAGCCCTATAGAATAGAAGCTGCTGCGTACAAGCGTTATTTCTTTTTCTGACCTTGCGTTCTTGTGGGCTGTTGTTGTAGAATCAATAATGATGCCTGCCGGGTTTTACGCGCCCAAAGTACCAAACGAATGCGACAAGCTGTAGAGGAGGGTTTTCCGGAAATTTAGACCATCCGGTGTTCATTAGTGAGCACCGACATCGGAAGGTGAACAGGGGCTCCAGCATCGCGCGCCCTTTGGGTCAGCATCTAGTACCCCGTAACCATAGACTTTGCCGACACGGTGGACACTGGCGACACGCGTGTGTATACTGGAAGATTTCGCGCAGTTGCAGGTCGTAATGTTTTGTGCACGCACACTGGTTTCTTGCATTTAGCACGTTTAGGACACTCCAGCGTGCACCACTTGTAACAAACGGGAAGGTCTCGCTACACCTGGCCCTTTCATTCAAAGATATTGCCAATTACTACAAGAAGGAGCACTGGCGCTATCCGAACCCTTGTAAGGGGATGCATCGCACTGACGACCACCTCCGTGTAAGTGAGACGTCCCCACTACACCACCGATCGCCAAAAAGAGGGAAGACCCCTCAACCCCCTTCTTATCCTGTTCGCTCTTGGCTACGTGTCTCAATCATTTTACACATACAGGCATTCGTGCTGGGGCCAGGAAGTAAGAGACGTCACGATCTTTTCTTAACCCTGGACGCATTTAATTCAATAGCAAGTGCAAATGGCGTACACACATACTGTCCGTGAACGACATCTGTGTTACACGAAATTGTAACACATCAGCAAATACTCGCGACAGGCGAAACAGGATACATAAGCGAAGTAACGGTGACAATACAAGGGTGCCTCAATACAGAGTAAACACACGACGACACAAACGATGAAGTTATCAAATAATAAAACCACGCAATGTCTCAAGGCGCCGCTTCCCTGCCCGCAAAGCTCGTCTAAATAGGGTGTATAAAGTTCGTCTCACGAATGGTCCGTGTTGTCAGTCTTCCTCGTCTTTGTCTTCTTCTTCGTCTCTCTCAGCAATTTCCATCTTAATCTTCTTTCATAACGTCCCGCAATCACTCGCTTCCTCGTTTCCCATCTCTAACTTTCATTCATCGTCATATCATCTCATCGACTCTCATTGCTATCTCTTCACACCGTTATCTTCTTTTTCCATTCCGTCTCTCTACCATCTCGAGCTCATCGCATCGTATCTCTTTGACTCTCCTACGTATCATCTCGTAGTCCCTTTTTGCAGGACCGGACTCCGCCCTACCGGGGCACCAAACCAATCGCTACTGTTGACACGTCACATTTTCTTGTCAGTTGGAGTGTATCATCTTCGACGGCCGCCCCCGCTATCCACACCAGTAGAAAACTCTCTCTCAAACAAAGCCGAGCAAGTAACAATGTACAAACTCAAGCCTCAGGGAGAGAGATGGGCGAGCCGTCCGAAGGCACTTTAATTACGGGCGAACAATGGTCCCGATGCTTCCGGTACTTTATGAGCCGATGTCCGGACCAAGTCTCAACGTTTCCATGCAGCTTGGTGTCTCCCGCGAAATTCTCCGTAGCCGCCGCTTCTTCGTCATTCAACGCCGCGGGCGGCATCCGTGCAGAACGCAGTAATGAGCCCTGGAGCCACGGAGGCTGACGAAAAGTCAGGTCGGACCTGGCATAGGCGCTGCGGCAGGGTCGCATTTCCCGAACCAACAAAAGGTGCTCTGCTGCTCCCCCATGCCACAAATCTAAAGAGTGCGCGCGGATTATCTCCACCGTACACTGTCATACTGTCTGTAGACGACAAGGCGCCGCCCGGTCCTCGTGTTCGCGCGGGGGAGCCCGTGAGAATAGTAGAAATATTCTTTCCAGGTACTCCACTGCGGAATGCCCATTCGTTACACTGAAGGTTTTCTTTTCGATTTTTTTTATGCATGGGTTTAAGAAACGAGCGAAAACATCTTGAAAGGACCGGGGTTCAGTCCGTGTTTGTGGGGACGTCACATAAGATTGTTTACCTTCACTGCACTGTGCCCGGCGGTGCTAAAACGTTTCAATTCATCCTTTGATGGCACGTGCCAGTTCTGTGAAGATGTGCCTGATACCTTCCACATAGTCGGGACACGCAAGTTAAGCCCATCTGCCCCCCCCCCCCCCCACAACCTAAACACCATGAGGGAGGACTGGGAGGCGGCCCTGCTCAGCTGGACCCGAAGGTCCAGAAGGCCCTGGTTCAACGGACGCGAGCGGCGTTGCTTGCCAATGGAGCCTCCTGAATTGGGGCTCCACCAAGTGCTGTGAGGGGAGCAGTCCAATAAGACCCCATCCCGGGAAATCGCCTCTCTGTAACCATTTTACGGTAATTGAATGTTTGACAACCACCCCGAGGCAGAAACTCGCACTCAAAGCGAGTGCTGCCACCTTCTATATATCTACGGGCACGTAATCGCTGGTGTAGGCCTAGGTCGTTTATCGTTTCGGGGTCGTTTTGTAGCCGCCGTTACCATTCCCGTTCCCTAGTATCTTCTCACTGTACGTAGTCGGAGTCTTCGATTCCCGGCCGTCACTCCGGGGTCATTTCTTGGACTAGGTGGCGTCTTATTCAGTTTTAGAGGACCATTCATGGGTATCATCACCATCATCATCACCAAATTTATCATCATCATCATCCTGACTACGTCCACTGCAGGACAAAGGCCTCTCCCATCTTCCGCCAGTCAACTCAGTCCTGTGCTTGCTGCTGCCACTTTATACCCGCAAACTTCGGTCGTGGGTGTAGTGAGATTAATCCAATATCTGTGGCGTTCAGCCGTTTACGACAGTAACAGTTCTTTCGATCATAGTCTTTACCTTCATCTATAACAGCGGAGCTATTAGAAAATCTTGGAGGACTCTCGCGCTTCGCCTTCAAGGGTAAAATGCGATAGCGTACTCAAACAGGGTGTAATCGCAACGTCTGTGCGCCGGTACACCAGATCTTCGAAACTATCCCATATAGAAATCCCGCTGCAAGTACCGGGTTGCCAAGTGTCCACTACGACATAATTGTTTCGTTCACGAAATGGCTAGGTCATTAAAAATGCTTCGCTACGCAATGCCTAGACTATTAAACAACTACAGGCGGTTCCGACAGCACCTGCTTGTCTCTGGCAAAAGTGTGCGTTGATCAGAAACACGCCCTTGGAAACTTCCTGTTCAGCTTGTTCTTGCGTGCTTTCACTTTTTGTAGCTGGCCGCGGCTGTTTGTGTTTTGATGTTTCATGTAAATAGAACTATTCTGATGAAGCGCTCACCAATCGGGCATACCTTCGTCAAGCCAGGATGCAATCTGCAAGTCTGACTAGTTTTATATGCCAGTCAAAGTTTTACGGCCAATGGAGAAAGAGCGACTGCGATTGCAGCGATCACGCGAGGAAATTGAATTCCCACAAATGCCGCGTATGTTTGTTTGGCTCACTTCAATAAAGGCGATTTTAAGCTCAGTTGCAAGCGCTACTGGGCTTCTTGCGAACTACTGGCCTGTCGGAACGCCTCTGCGTGGACTGATTTTGTGTGTGCGTGTGTGTTGGTGTTTTTCTCTTATTTATTTTTTAACTCTCTCTTTCAACCCCCTATTCCCCAACCCCAGTGTAGGGTAGCATACCAGATACTAGCATCTGGTTAACCTCCCTGCCTTCCTTTCTTCTCGTTTCTCTCTCTCTCTCAAGACGATGTTCACGCGTTAGATCAATTGAAGGGCCCCGGTTACAGGCAACACATCGGGCGCCGTCGCCTTTCACGCGTGGCAGATAAAAACGCCGACGCCTGAAGTGAGCGAAAACTAACGCTCAAAATCCATCGCAAAGGTGTTTCCTGTATAGTTTGAGCCACATTGCCGCGTGTGGTGCCCCGGAAGTCTTCCTGAACAGGCCGGTTGACATGAGCCAGTCCTTGACCCCATTCACCACGAGAACGGCGTCGAGCCGCATGAACCATGCCTGGGTTCGGGTGGTACGGCGGCACTGGCGGGCAGAGTCGCGGACGCATGGCAGCGGCCGCTCGTCGAAGAGCGCGTCCTCCAGGCCATGGACCAGTTTAGCGAGAGACTAAAAAGTAAAAGCGATGACTTCGTGAAGGTGGCCGACGGGGCCGTGCTTAACTCGCCACTTTATTATTGAGGCCAAAACAAAGCGGCGGTGCAAAAAAAAAAATCACAGCATATTCACGGAGTGAATGATGATTGGTGGGGCGAAGCGTTCGTCAGTTCGTCCGTGCTTCCGTCCGTTCATTCGTTCTTGCTTGCGTCAGTCTCTGCGTCCATCCGTCCGTGTGCCCGCCCTTTGTCTTTCTGTCCGTGCGTCCGTTAGTCCGTCCATCCATTTGTATGTCCGTCCATCCGTCTGTCTAGTGAACACTCCAAGTACCGCCATCTCACAGCTTTTCACCACATATTCATCATATACAAGTGCCGCCATCCAACGGACATTCTAAAGACCGCTCTCTCGGGAATGTGCCACCAGTGGTTACGCACTACAACAGGGGGCGCACAAGCCACGCCATAAGGAGCTTCGCCTCCGAAAAAACCTCATTGGCGGCGGCTGCCAGTGTCTGACACGCCAGGCACAGTGCAGCCGTTCTTGTGCTCATGGCTCGAGCTAGGCATGAGCTGCGCGAGAGGCACGCCCAGTAGCTATGGAAATGATGATGAATGACAGTGATGATGACGCTATAGACGTCAATATTGTATTCTTGAAGTGTTAAGTCCCAGTGTCCAAGTCGTCCAGTGGCATCTATGAGGGACGACAACCAGCACAGTGCATGGTGATATCTGCAATGACCGAAAAAGTGCGCCCAAACAAGTATGGCTGAAGTTTTCCGACTGCCCAAACTATGGTGCAGGGTAATCACGCCCAGTGATTGAAAACCTGCACTCCGAAGAGGGAATGGGACGTGATCTTAATCCTTGTTGCTGCTGAGCGAGAACAGCGCTGATGCCATATCCACTGGCATCGGTACGAACTTCAGGGCTGACGGGTTGAAATGAGCCAAGATTGGTGGGTTGGGTAAGTAATGTTGCAAATGTGCTGAACGCAGTAGGGAAGCAAACTAGATGTAGTTTACTTAAACTCCCTACCGTTACTATGTATCTAAACGCAGTTGATTAGCCGGTACGCCAATAAAACGACATGTGATTCTTTTTGTAGTTTCCTGAACGCTCGGGCAATGTAAACGAATTTTGACGAAACGTTGAAATAAGAACACAAACCGACAAAACTCTGTACATCTTTCGCAGAACGTGGTATGGGTCGTGACATTGATCTTGACGAGTCGGATTTAGTCGGCATCTGGTTGCACACCTCGAACCCAAACAAGATGACCCAGCGCATTGATTTCTCGGCGGCTACAACTGAATTTGTTCATGTGTCAATACATGTTCATGTGCAATATTGCCTCGCTGTCAAATCCTGCCTCGCTGTCAATAATATCAAAGGGTTGTAGGATATAGTCAAGCTGTCCAAAGACAGCCTTTCTACTACGATTTCCCCTTCTGTAATTCCGAAGGCGGCAAATAAACAATGTCAACTTCAGAGACCGCGACATGATTATGAGAGACGGTGTAGTAAAAAGCTCCAGAAATTTTAACCATGTGTTGCTCTCGTGTACTGACATCGCACAGTTCAAGGTTATCTAGCATTTCGCCTCCATCAAAATGCACCCGTCGCAACCGGAATCGAACCCGCGACCTTCGGTTCAGTGGCTGAGCACCATAATCCCTACAGCACTGCGGCGGACGAAACAGTGGGGAAGAAGACGTCCCAAAGGAGACGCGAGGCGTCGTGCCCATCAACGGCACTAATTCAGCGACGAAGAGGACGAAGGCTTCTCGCTAAATTAGCATCATTCTATTAATTTAGTATAATTTATTAGCCATGCAATCTCATATAATCAGTTTTAGTTGCAAATTATTCGTTTCTTGCCGAATGTGCGCCGTATACACATAGAGGCTATCATGATAATCGTCGTTATCATTATCATCATCGTAATCTTCGCTGCGTGTATAGATTCCAGCAGGGCAGCTTCACGATTGAGAACGATATGCCCACGCATTCTGAAATCGAACGCGTGCCCTCGCGTGCTTGGCATCGTAGTGTCACATCGTGTGTGAACCACGGCGAATAGCAGCTGGAACTGTGCCGAGCGCGTCTAAACTGGTACGCCTCACCCCTCCAGCAGCCGTCAACATCTCGACCCGGCGAAGGTCAGCAGCCGATAAGAACTCGTCAATTAGGCGAGTCTTTATCCGCGTGCCGTCAACTTGCGTTTCATGGTCGTGTGCCGGCACGCATAGCTGGCTGAAAAACGTAAACATGCAGGCCTTTCGATCGTTATACTTAAGTGGTGGTGGTGGTAGGAAGGAAGGAAAACGAGTGAGAGGAAAGGCAAGGGTGTTAACCAGCTAGGTACATCTGGTATGCGACCCTGCATGGGAGGAAGAGATTGGGGAGATTGACAGAAGAGTAAGTAGAGAAAAAAGAGGATGAGCATACACGCACACACACACACTACGTCACAGCGCACAGCGGTGGTCTTGGGTCATATACGGCATCACATGTCTACGGCGGCCTGTGCAAGCCTGTGGTCCTCAGCAAGTTTACAATTCCTTGTTTGCTCGAATTCTCGATGACCGTTCAGGATGGCATTGAAGAATAGTTTCTTGTGTCAGCGTTGTGTTGTCAAGACGAGCGGGGGTGTGTAGGGGGGATCGTCTCTGCACAACGCAGCGAGAACAGTCGCTGAAGATACGTTGCAATGTCTCCTCTGTACCGCAGGCGTCGCATAGAGTGTTGTCGGTCATCCATATCCCAAATTAATACGACTTCGTGAAAGCCACGGCAGAGCAGAATGGCCTCTCTTCGGCGGAGCCGTGTTGGCAACGCGTTTAGGTGGTGTTATCGAGTTTAGGCGGCAACGCGTCTAGCTGGTAAAGCTAACGCCGCAACGTGATTAAGTGGAGTAACTGGGGTTGCCGATAGTTTTGGCTTCTTTAAGTATTCTATACATGTTGGGTGCGAAATATCCTTTCTGATTCTTCTAAGCATGGGAGTAGCATCGAACCATGAAAATGGTATAGTCTCTTCCTTTCTTGGTTGTGGCTATGGTGTTGCAGCAGGTGGGACGTAGCCTGGCCTACATGGTCGGCAATCGTAGTATCGTCCGAAACGCAGGGGTTGTGCTAAGTTCTGCAGAAAGACTGTTATTGGGCTTGTTCGTGCTTGCTGATAATCGTGATCTCACGCGAAAAGACGAAAAATGGGGGACCCTTAAGCTTCGCCTTTAAGAGATGAACGCGATAGTGAAACCCAGCCCCTAGTGCACCCTTCAACCGCTAAGTACATAGACGTTCTTGAACTATAAAGCAAGAGTCGCATAGCCTCCAAGATATACGTCGCGGGCTCGAAATTTCAGGTGTCATAAAGAGTTTCACAATGCCTCAGAGATGGCAGCATATTATCTAGCGTTTCCTGTTTGCTTGGTGAATGCGTCTGGGAAGGCATGGTATGTTTTCCGCTAGGTGGGCATAGTTGTCCATTTTTAGAGCTGTTTGAAAGTTTATGTGTGTTTTTAGCGGCGATGGCTGCACTATCCCGGCCTTTTTCGACGTCATTTGATGGCCCCCCGAATGCGCCTAGAATCGCCGAATGGGCTCGTTTTCGTCGCGACACCTGTCGAACAAGATGTGTTAAGGAGACTCCTTCCACTACATGGAATTTATGTGGCGTTTTTCCCTGAAGAAGCTGCTAGTAACATTGGGGCGCATTAAAGAAAACATTGTGGCTTTGTGGTAGGACACCTGCTTGCCGCGCAAATGGCCCGGGTTAAATGCTCAATGGGACCGAAAATTCATTCTTTTCATTTGCCTCTTTCTCGATTTTTCGTTCACGGACGATTTTTCGCTCACAACCAACGGTGCCGACACCCGAGCTCTCTAACGCTATCGCGTTAAAACGAGACACAGAACCACACGGCTCACTGTGGAATGTAGTTGTGTCTGTTCGCTTGGTCTTTTCGCATAATATCATGATTGTTACCACGTGTTAAAAAGCCCAGTGTTTCTGCAGAAGGGCCACCGAAATTTGTTGCATGCTCGTGTGTGTGTGTGGTGTGTGTGTGTGTGTGGTGTGTGTGTGTGTGTGTGGTGTGTGTGTGTGTGTGGTGTGTGTGTGGTGCGCCATGACTGTTCGAGATTCCCTACTTCAATCCCCAGCGCAGCTGTTGCAAGACCTGCTTCCCTTTTTCGTGTTATGCTGCCCTCGTTGTCCCACTGCAGCTTTTACACTCCTCGCGACTTGCTGCAAAATAATTGGAAGCGATATTCTAGCAAGCCATTCGATATTTCAGTAGAGCCCCTCTATATTTTTCTCCCTATAAAGATATTTATTTCCGGGGCCACAAAAAAGCACTTTTCTCTTTCCATTAGGTGCAGCTTATTCAGTCCATATCAGTCCAGGGGCCGTGCCATTAAGTCGTTTCTACGTCGCGAATACATTTGAATACAGAGGTGCAATCGCAGTAGGCACGTAGATTATCCACCCTCTTCGTAAAGGGCATGTATTGGCCAGGCCTCGACCAGTTATTTCTAGTCTGACGTCTTGAGGAGCTATATCTTTCTACACGATCGCATCTGCCAACATCGCAAGCGGCTTGCGCATCTCTTGCGTGTTAAAGGTTGGTTTAAATCATTCGATCATTGCCCAATAAACCTTCCTGTCTTCTATACAGAGTCGCTTACGTAAGCGCTGTTTCTCCGCGATGCTGCTAAGCTGGAAATGATAACGTTTGAAATTGTATAAAAAAGAAAACGGTTGTGTATGTGGGTCAGCGTAAGATGCCTGGCAACCGGAGTGTTTATTAGCTAGAGGCAGTTTCTTTCCTAATACGTGACTCGTTTAACTGATATGCGTATATACATCCGGCTACGTACCTCATCAACGTTGACGTCGTAAGTGAATGGAACTCTTTCCCATGTGACGTCAGGTGAGTAAGTT